GACCACTGTCGTAAACCTGAGTGTACCTGTATGCGTTTTAGGGCTGTGTTTATCTGGTAAAAGCTGTTAACCCTTTAAATGTCCCAAATATAGCCAAAGCATCACATTCCTTAGAAACAGGCATTAACAGCGATAATGTCTGTACATGCCTCAGTGTCTCAGCTGGTATCAACAAACCACAGATGTACTGGAGCTTCTTACAATCAGTATGACAGCTTATCTGCACTGTAGATACTGTTACTGTACGTGTGCTGCATTCAGATACTACATGCCTGGGTATCCAGAGTGAGTGCTCGTCTGACACAGTCCATGTTAGTTCATTCACTGACAACACAACACTTACTATGATGAGAGCACTTTCATAACCTTTGCTTTACAAAAGACAAAAAAAATACAAAATAAAATACAAAAAATATAAATTAGATCAAATAAAAAAGGAGACAATGAAGAAACATCCCTTTTTACTTCTATTCTAAAGTATTACTATGTTTCAGATAGAAACCGTCACTCCACTTTGTAGCCCAGCTTGTCGCCTTAGTGGCAACGTCTCCTCATTGTATTCCGACCCCAACCTGCCCCCTGCAACATTACACGCAATTTGGAGAGGCAGAGGCAGGGGCATTCAGTTTTAATCAAGCAAGCACATGCTTATTTTGAAACCCTGCCACATATCTGAGCTCTGATATAAGACAGACCGGAAAACCTAGTTGACCAAAAGCATATTCAGACACAGCATAGAGATAACGGCATAAAGCAAGTTGAACTCCCACCTCATGTGATCCATTAATATTGTTATTCTGTGATAAAATATTTCTTCCACAGTTTAAACACATCTGTTTTTGCTTATTTCCCCATATGTAATCTGTGTTTTATGGAGCAGTGAGTGGTTGATTGTAGTCTACAGCGTTTAATGTTGAGGCGTATAGGGTTATTTTTGCTTCATTACCTTCCTCCTGTCTTGGGAATGCAGTTTCAGGTCAAATTTTCAGTTTGTCCAATACTTTGGTTTTTGTTCAAATAGTTGTAAAACTAATGAAATTCCTATCAGCCTCAGTTGTACTTTGTGTTAAGTGCTAATAAGCAAAAATGATACCCACTAGAATCCATATTTTAGCGCCGTCATTGTGAGTTTGTTAGTATGTTGATGTTATCTTAAAGCAGTGCTGTGGGTGCAGCCTCACAGAGCCAATAGCATGCCTGTAGACTTTTGTTTGTTCTTGCACTTTTGTGTCACCTCAATGCTATGCATCAGATTTTCCTCTGGTTTTCGTGCTATTTGCCTCTGTAGACGTTTCTAACTCTGTGTGTATTCTTCTTCCCTTTTATTATATTGAAGACCAGACATCCAAGACCAATCTAGACTTTACTTTGGGTCACAAACGTTTGGAGTGCGGTTACCAGTGGTTAAATGGGACAAACCACCACATTGGACAGGCGACAGTAAATAAAATACGGAACCAAAGAAAGTGACTCATTCTCAACAGCAGTATCAGTGTTTAAATTTTGGTATAAAGAAGGGGGGAATATCAGCAGGACAAGAGGTAATGACATTTGAAACTACTCTCAGCATTCCCTAGGAGGTCTCATTAGTGCAGCCACACACTTTTTATGGGCGCAACCGTGATCTTGACCGAACACACACTCGATGAACAGGTCACATTGTCACACAACTTCCATGCACACTTCAACATTCTCCTTTTTCTTTATGTACTGCTACTAATTACTAATATGGACAGAATATGAATCATCATCTGAAGATCAGAGCAGGTTTCATTGATCAAGGGGTCACACAATGCTGTCTAAATAGCAGCTTCAAAGGAAATACTGAGACATACTGGCAATGAGCTCATGTCTGTCATTCTAATTACATTCATGCGTGGGGTTGTGTGGTCAAGTCTTTTTTAACCTTCATTGCACTGTGGAAGCCTGCATTTCATTTGATGTTGCTGTTCAGCTAATTTGTGTTTAGCTTCTTCATGCAAATGTGTGACCCATCTGTTGCACCTGAAGAAAGCTGCAGATGAATCATTCTGGTCACAGCCTTTTCCTCTCTGTCATCCTCTTTACAGGTGTGCATGGTGGTGTGACATTAGAGTGGATTATGGGAAACATTATCGTGTCAAACACATCCACAGATGCACACCAGTGGAGGGAGCATAGATGAGTCATGAGGCTCTGCGCGTATCCACACCAAAACCTTATCAGTTCAGCTTGTTGAACCAGATTTGAACGCTGATGGTTCCTCTATGAGGACCAGTTCAACATTTGAACATTTGAATCCTTATAAAAGGAAAGGCATGCTTTGACTGGGAGTTATGTGGCAGACTATTTGTTGGCTCTGAGCAGTTGACAGTCAGCAGAGACTCCAGGAAGTCACTGTGCTCGTTCGAGAAGTCATCTGGCACATCCCTGTTGTTTTTACACTAAATCCAACACACTGGTCCTTCATAGTTGATGAGTTTCAGTAAAAGTTTACAGTCATCGGTACATTTTTCATGATGAGCAATTTTAATTATAAAAGATGATGCATATGCACTTTGACCTTTGCATGTTACACACTTTATCGAAATATATATCAGATGTACTGTTACAGTAATACTGGCACAACAGAATACAAGCTGGTCCCAGACATAAAAACACATAAAAACATTTTTGCATTCATGTCTCAAGTCCGTCACTTCAGCTCTGCAGTCTTGCTTCTGATGTGGATTTACCACAGGGTGTTCTGTTTGGTGTAGGTGAGTACATATGAGCATTCAACAGCATCATATAGGGCAGCGATAGTCTACAACAAGTTCATGTCAATGTAGTAGTTTACTTACTGTGTGTGTGTCTTAAAGTATGTTGTATTATCATATGTATGTTTCAGCACAGTTAAAATGAACAACACCTTCACTTCCCAGTGTGTAATTTAAACACTGGCCAAAGACGACTGATGGTCTCCTGTGTTTTCCTGCTCTGTGTTTTGAACAGCTAATCCCTACCTGTCACAGAGGGAGGTCCATGAAAGATGGATTTGCTCCTCCACTCACCGCAGCTTTTCATTTACAGAACAGACAGCAGCATCCTTCCATCCTCATCCCCTGCTCAGCACTCTAATCCAGCTAGAATGAATAGAGAGATTAAAAAGCTGAAGATGAGACATGATGAAAGAGGGTCACAGCGGTCAGCAGGATGTGGGCAGGTGAAGAGACGGGAGGTGCTGAGGACGGCGGAGGGCAGATGTGCAGCTTGGAGGTTTTTAATCAGCACAGGGCCACTTCTTCACTTCCTGGAACATGAGGCTTTTTTTTGTGGAGGGAAGCTGAGACTGGTGGGGGAAAACACTCTGAGTGCAACACCTGCTGTTTATCCTTTTTATTCAGCCACTTATGCCTCTCCAGCTTTCCTGCTCTTAAAGGGAAAACACACACAAGGGCTCTGGATTCGATATTTGTCTTGCTCACACCAGTTTACCCATCAGACATACATTTAGAAAGATTGTGTTTGTAAAAGTGTTTAACCGTATGTGGTTAATAATGACACAAATAATACAACAATGTGGTGAATATGAGCGCGACAGTTGTCACAGGTTCTTCAAATATTTAAATATTTGTTCCTACTGTCAGAACCAATTCCTGACATGATATAAGTTGTACCATGTTGGTTCAATATCCTGTTTCATTCCTAAAAAAAAATATTAATCCATTCTTAAGAGTATAGTGCTGATGATATTCTATATTTCACTTTCTGCCCAATAATCTCATGAAAAGAATGAGTGTGTATCCAAAGCCTGGTACATATTATGCCTCTGCGCTATGGAGTTCCAGTGTAGTATAAATACTATTAAAGGACCAGTGTGTTAAATAGTCATACTATACATAAAATCTTTGCATTGTATTTTATTGAACATCCGCATCATGCTGCCCCCGTTTACCATCATAACGCTGATTCTAGATGGAGTCTCGATGCTGGTGAATCAGGAAGCGGTTGACTCTTGGATTTAAACTGGTGCAACAGAGGAAGGCTGCAAACACCGATGTTTAATACAATTAGTTAGAAAGGTAAAAAAGGGCCACAGGAGGTTCTTAATATTTCCATGAAAGGCTGTACAGGTCAACTCGCAGAAGTGAGTCTGCAGCACAGGCGGACGCTCTACAACATGTAATAGCTGACTATTTTTCCCTTTCCCTTCATCACCTTTGTGTCTGGCTTAAATTCACCACAGTTACTGAGCACAGTGTTCCAAGTTAATAGACACACTTACAAAACATATTTTGTAAATTGATAACATATGACTCGTCTTTCTATTGTATTATCTTGCTAAGAATTCACGGGTTGCAAATGTCACTTCAGTCCAAGGAGGAGCTGAACTTGAGGTATGCTGACAATAAAGGGAGATTTTAACCATTTAAATACAACAGATATTTGTGGATGTCAGTAAAAATAAAACGCAAAAATAACCCTGGTTCAAGTACAACTTGAGTGTAACAAACTGTTTTCCCCTGCAGCATGGACACCACCTATCCTTGATTTCATGAGTATGATATAAAAACACCTTAGTCTTCTACAGCAACACAATTGTGGCCACTGATGGGTATGAGCTTTATTGTCTGTGCATTCAGCTTCATTCTGGACCACAAATTAAAAACATTAAAAACAAAAAACTTTCCACAAAAGCCATTAATCAAACAGAAAATCACTTTTACAGAGGAAAATCATTTTAATCGGTGTGTATAAAAAAAAAAATTAAAGAAAACACAGTTGAACATCACTGAAGTCATATCCTGGAAATCTCAGAGGCTGTTGACAACCAACCTCTATTCATCACTTTGAAATCATAAAAGATAATATACATGTCCAGGAAGTCAAACAATTTGGCTCATCATTTATATACATTCTGAAATAATCACAGTTCTGACAATAACGTATATGCTAATTACTTCACTGATCTAAAACCTATTTTCCTCTACAGACAGAGACAGATTTACTCTCAATTCTCCAGAGTGGTATTTCTGACATTTTTAACAACTCATTGTGATATTCAGTCTTTGAATCTGAAAAATATGATTTAAAAGACATTAAACTGTTAAAATCTACTTCGATTTGACTGCATTGTCTTTGTTTATTGATTTATTTAGTACAGCATTAACTGAAATGTCCCTGTTAAATGTCCCTGTCAGTCTACAAAAACAAGTTACCATTTAAGAAACCTCAGGTTCAAGCTGATAATGTAACATGACTTGTGTGGCTGTGTCAGGAGTTTTGAATCACTAATGTGAGTGTATCTAAGGACAAGAACTTTACTATGAAGAGCTGTGAGAGGCTGTTTCTCACCAACAGAGCTGAAATGATTTAAAGATGTGCAGATTCCTGGCAGTTAGAGAGGCAGAAGACAGAAATACATGTAGGTGGAATCCCTCCCAACAGTGACAGACGTTTAGTGAAACAGAATCCATGTTTATTGTGATAGTGTGATAGTGTTACCTCTTGGCATACCAGACAGATGGGGTTTGCTACATGATGACTGCTTGAAAAGTTTAGACAATCACAGGAATGTTTTCAACGTTTAGTTAGTAGATCTGATTTGCAATTGCCCTAGGTAAATCCTCCAGTCTGGTAGTCCAAGTTAAATCAAACTTTTTGCATTGTGAAAACACCAATTAAAGCAGAGCTAACTGTGCAAATAAAAAGCAAAATTAGTGAGGAAACAAAAAGCTCATTTTAAAAATACAGGCACAAACAATTTCAAGCTCCATTGGCAAGGGGGAAAGAAAATCCGCTAATTCTACTTTCCACCATCATGCGAGTGTGAGAAGAGCTATAAACAGCAATTTTCATCCATTCTGGCCCGTGCATTCTTAAAACAAAGCTATACCTTCTTGTGAGTGAGACATTAATGGTTCAACCATACAGTGAATATCAAAGGAAGCAGACACATTTTTACACAACATAATTTAACATTGTGAGACAATTTGGAAGCAAATACATGAGACAGTAAGTTAATGCAGAAGTCCTTTATGTCATCTCCTGACCTTCAGGCTAAGATCTGCTGTCATAAGGCTGTAAAAGACCTTCAGCTTGACAAGTAGGCTGATTTAACAAAGGCTAGCTACCCTTACACAGGCACTACCATAGCAGAAGACAACTTTCTGACTGAAAGCCTTGTGATTAAGGCCTCAACTACCTATTTTTATTGTCGAATAATGTTTTGATCACTGAGAATAAATGAATTTTTATAAAAAAGGTCCAGTGTGTAGGATTTAGTTTCACCGTCCCCTTCCAAGCATGAGGGAGAAACTACAGTGGCTGTGAAATGTGCGAAAAACTTGAATGGCCCTATCTACAGCCAGTGTTTGATTTGTCCCTTCTGGGCTACAGTAAAACAGGCAGTTCAACATGGCGGACTCCGTGGAAAGTGACTTGCTGTGTCTGTAAATAAAAACAGCTCATCTTCAGGTAACAAGAACATAATGATTCTTATATTCAGGCGATTATACACTAATGAAAACATACCTATGAATATTATATTCCATTTCTGCCAATAGATCCTCCTAAATGTTACATACTGGATCTTTAATCTATAAAGTTTAAACAAATAGTGAAAATTGCCCATCAGATGTTAACAAAGGCCCAGGTGACATCCTAAATTTACTTGGTATTTGTGCAACCAAACGTCCCAAACCGAAAAGCGTTCAATTTTTAACTATTTAACACAGAAAAAGCAGCAAATTCTCTCAGCTGAGAAACTGACACCAGTGAATGTTAAGCATCCTATGGTATGAAGTCACATGATCAATCAACTGTAAAACAAAACAAAACCCCAACCCACTTGTGTTGAGTGATTAATCAATGAATTGTTTCAGTGCTACTTTTAACAAGTTAAATGGCTGGTAGAAGCACATATATCCAAACACTCTGTATGGATTTAAAGCTTAAAGTTAACAGTTTGGGAAATATAGTTATTTACTCTCATGCCAAGAGTTAGATGAGATACCAACCTCTGTTAAACTAAAGTTACAACTAGCCTGGCTCTGGTTAAAGGTAGGAAAATATGCCTACCAGCACCTTTTAAAGCTCACAAACTAACCATAGCATAAGTGTAGAAATTGAGGTTTTACAGGTAGCGCTTTCCCCCTTCTTCCAGTCTATTCTAAACGAAGCTAACCATCTTCTGGCTGTAGCTTCAAATTTAGCATACAAACCATCCAACTCATGGCAAGAAAGCAAAAAGGTGCACTTTCCAAAATGTGATATAAAGTTAATGTTCTATGTTTAGAACATACAATGACATTAGCCGTCTATTCAGGTATAGTATCTCCAAGCCAGGTGTTCATTTCTCTCCCCCGGGGTTTCTGATTGTGGCCGCAGGAGAACACAGAGGTTGTTATTGCAACGTACCGGGTGGGAACTTCCAACTTCCGACTGAGCGCAGCATTAGTCTTTACTTCGCCTATAGATTCTGCCATCATGGTATGGTACAGAATTAAACAGAGTGGAAGTCCAGACAGAAGTAATATTCCCGCCTTACTCCAGCATTTGAAAAGTTATAATATTCTGAGACATGGGCGAGGACGTCTGATATGACCACACAACGGAAAAGGCTTTGAGCCACTGTCAGGCTTGACATGATACTTCATATTTAGGGATGTTTGAGGAAACTGCTGAATAAGAACCCTTGGTGTAAGGCATAATCCAGAAACCATACAAGATCCACAAATAGCCTGTGGTGAGTGACAATGACCTCTCACCAGGACACACGCTGCCAAATGTGGGCTGCGACTGTTACTTCTGTCCTTTTGGCTGGGACAGAACCAAAGGAGAGATTCCCCACTATGGCTCGGAGCCTTCACAAGAAGTTAGGAGTTCAGACCACACAGGCAACATGATGTCCATAAAAGGCCTTCATTTGACAGGCTGACACCACCTCGTCATCCCGGCAGGGAAGTCCGATTGGTCTCCTGTCACAGACCAGAAGACTGAGAGGGATGGTAGGGTCCGTTCACCTGAGATGAAAGAAAGAAAGTCAAGGTTAACACAGATGACAAGCGCAGGAGTTGGTACATCATGTGGTCAATTTCAAACTAAATAGTTCAACAACAGGCTAAACATACCATAGTATTGTAAATTGTCAAATAAAAGTAAGTAAAAGGTCCAGTCAAAAGAAAAACAAAAGCCAGTCACTAATAAAAGCTGGGTAAAAAGACTGAGGGGTGGAATAACCTGTATAGTACATTATAATGTGTATTGCTATAACAGTAATTCCATCATCACAACAAGAGAATCATACTCACACATTTTCTGCTTTGGGCTTTTCTTTATAAACACAAATACTGTTTTTATTAATTAATTCCAATCGGTTATTGTCAATATAAATAGGTATGTCTGGCAAATGTTTAAAATTTGTTTTAAAAAGGTTTTAAAAGCTCCTTCCAGGATTGGGATGAAGCCCTGTGAGTCACTGCAACTTTTTCATGTGAAACGTTGATGCTGGAAGAGTTTCACGGACTATACATTTGACTGCACTTGAAAAAAGTCAAACTGGACACGAGTGGCATTAATTAAATGACTGAAAACTGTTATTTCCGTTAGAAAGGAGAAACTGAGAGCAGCAGAGCGGTGAGTATGAAATTACTATTTTGTGGTTGTTTGCTAAAATGTCTGACAACAGGTTAACATGGAGGGAGTTTTGAGTTCAAACAAGGCAAACTAGAAATAAAACCGTCCTGTTTTCAATAAAGGTCTGGTTAAGGAAAGGAATCTACAGTAAATGAGTTCACTGTTCAAGAAAAATGGACAGCAGCGAACAGGCTGTCCCTTTAGGAAAGACTCTGCCAATCACTGACACAATTTGTATCCAATAGGTTGGTAATTTATTTGTGGAGGTGGACCCTGATCAGCTGCATCCAAATACCCAGCTAACTAAAGACTGGACATAAATGCATAATCCTCGCAGATGTATAACTGTATTTACACACATTTTGAAAGTATTAAACTATAAAATACAAATAAATCTTTTTGAATGGAAGAATATAAATTTGGGTGTCAAGTAAGTTCAGCACTTCTCTCTGTTCTTGCTTGCAGTTAATTATAATAGTGACCAACGCCTTATTGCTAGAACTGCACAATATGATAAAAGCATCATGTTGCAGTTCTTTTGACAGGTATTGCCATAGCGATATGATTCTTGATTACTGTGGGAATTATCATTTTTGTATCTTAAATTTGATTTTCACTGAAAAAACTATTAGAATCATGATGTGAAATTTGTTGGGGTCTGTACCAAACAAACATCTTTTCTGAAATCTGGAGAACAAGATTTATAGCCTAGGACCTCTCTGCAGCACTACTGTACTTGTACTACTGTACACTACTTGTCACACATTTGACCTTTTCTCAAATAATAATTGCAACTTCTGCAATTTTAATATTTCACTTGGCCATATTGTGACTTAAATAATAATACAGAATAATATTATGATAAATTGTGCAGTCGTACGTATTGCAATGTTGAAGTGAAAACATCTTCTCATATTTTGGAAAACTCATAAAAAGCCGGAAATCTATCACAAGAATGGACAGTTGCGATAGAGCTGAGTTTTGTCTTTGGCACCTGTGATCATTTTCACATCTTATTCACTTCCCCTGGACCTGTCTACATAATTTCTCCTCAGTTATAACTGTGGCAACCTGCCAGTGACTGTAACCAGGACAACCAGCGTGACTCCAGACAAACGTGTTAAGATAGAAACTAATTATTCAGCTAACAAAGAAAGAGGTGGGCATGGACTGCATTTTCTTCTTTCTTTTTGATGAAACATTATCTTCTGGGTTTTGTATCTGTTCATGGGAGGCCTTCAGTAAAGTAGTCTTTATCTTTTCAATGCACTTTTCAGAGAAAGCTACAATGGGCTGAACTCAGAGGTAACTCAAGTTCACCTGTTATTCTCTCATGCTGCTTAGCAGTGTTAGTGGTGATGTATTATATTATAGTGAAATGCCATGAGGGTGAGGCTGTGTGTGATTGTAATGGAGGGCTGGTGTAAGCTCTGGAACATACAGTTAAGCCCTTTTGTTTACCGTTAAGAAGCTTTAAATCTGTAATAAAAGATTTTTTTTTCAAGCTGTGATAACAGTGATAATTCACTGTAGGTTCATCACAATACGTGAGATTATATTACACATTTCCATCTGATACATTGTTATTATAAAAATATAAATTATAGCTCCTTTTAAGGTTGTTAAAATGATCATATTACACAGTCAGGCTAAATCATATGTGTTCTATGTGTTTTCAGAATGATGTTGTGGTCACAGCTTGTGTTTCACATGGTGTATGTAAGTGTTTCTCCTAACAGGCTACACTTTCAGTGAACAAAAAGAATCATTATTTCCTGGACTCCACCAGCACTGTAATTCGGCCTAGCTATTTCTGGGTAACGACGGCAACACACAGGTGTTGATGTGAATGTTATTGCCCAGTTCATTGGCTGGCTGCAGTGCTGAAAAGGGGTAATGCACCGTACTACAGCCTTAGAGGAGGCCAACCCATTGTGTTCACATAATGACAGTTAAATTCTCCATGTGAGACTCAGGTTGACCTAAAAATAAGTTAACAGTAAGTGAATCCATAGAGAACACTAATACACTGGCAGTGAGAGTGGAGCATCTACTGAAAGAGAGAAACTAAGCAGCTGACTACAATACCTATTACTACTGCCCTTACAAAGTAAAAGTGTTTTAACACATTGCAAAGTAATATATAATCACATTTGGCCACAATTTTGTCCTACTCAGTGAATGCTGCATTCAAGTGACGTTGGCATAATCAGAAAAACTCTTTCTGACTGGGATGTCGGAAAAGTGTGTATGTATGTATGTATGTATGTATGTATGTATGTATGTATGTATGTATGTATGTATGTATGTATGTATGTATGTATTGTGTGTGTGTATATGTATATATATAGTTTTTCTGATTATGCCAACGTCACTTGAATGCAGCATTCACTGCAGGCTATTCAGGTCTCATAGTGGGAGTGGGGCACTGCCGTGTTATATATGTTATCGGGGCTATTCGTCATGATATCGGACATATCGGAGTGACGCAATAATTTCCTGTTATCGGCCCGATAACTATCGTGCACCCCTAATTGTAGTTGTACAATGTAGTTGTAGAAACTATAGCCATTATTATCCAAACCGATGCTGATATTAAAGGGACAGTTCAGGTTTTTAAAAGAAAACTATTTTACCTTGCATTACACTGGATTTGCTGGTCTACCGCTGCCTTGAATGGTAAGGTAGTTTGTGTTAGTGTGTGAATCCAAACTAACCATTTAAATCACCAAAGTCACACAGTAACACAAACTAACCAACCGAGGCAGCGTGGATCAGCAACTCACAGGTAAGGAGTCTGGTGGCTTTGAAGTAGGGCATAGATGGATACAACAGCTTCAGTTTACCATCAGAAACGGTTGTCTGACACTAACGGTAAGCTTAAACAAATTTTTTTAGGTGGCTAAAATACATTTTGCTGCTGTCCCCACCCACAGCAATTCAGCAATTTATAGTGATATTTATACGTTTTTCATTGTAAAAACAGCCAACCTTTAGCTCTGTTTTGCCCCCACAGGACCAACAAAGACACTGCAGGCAATTTTGCTTTGTCACTACAGTGTCTCATGTTTTATTGTCGTCAGTGCTGTTACTATAAAAATCTATGTAAATACGGCAGGACAGAGTTGTGTCGCTGAACATGTAGAGCTGATCTGTTTATTTGTTTACATAATATTAATTTTGATGGGACCATTATTTTTGGATCGCAGAAGTTATGACCTTGTGTCCCTGTATGTCAAAAATGCATTTAAATATGAAAACCCAATCCAAAATCAGATCATAACTGTAATGTTTTACTTGCGGCATTCCTCACAAAGCTAACAAACACTACCAGCAATAAGATAGATCCAAGATGGGGATTTGCAAAAAATATTGTTTCCATGTGTCCATGTGCAGCTCAAGTGACTAAAATTGATTCATTTCAAAAGAGGCTGGTACAAGACAGTGGAACAAATTGTTTTTCCCCCAAAATGAATAAACTCCAACAGACTAGGCAAACTAACTTTCCTTGAGGTTGTATGGTGTAAGCGTAGCTTTCACTTCTTCTGAACAGTCATCAATATTCAAATAAAGTCCCTCCTGATGTTAAAATCGTGACCTGACATCTTTTTTTCCATGTGTTCACGTGTCACCACTGGTAAAAATGACACCGCCAAAGTCATCTAATGGAACCTTGTGTGAGTCCGAACAGAAGAATCCAAAACACCATATCAGCTAAAGGTTACTGCTCAACTGGACCGAATACCCCTCAATCCCCAGAATCCAAGATTCAACAAGGGGAAAGACATTTATACCTTTTAACAGCCAACACAAACTACATATCACCACAAAGTCAAAATACCTAGTCTGGTGTGAGCCGATAACAGATAATGGGGAATCCAAACATGATACTGGATCTTTACTGGTCTAAGGAACTGAGATGAAAACCGCTCAGATGTCCTAATTTGCCATATTTCTTTTAAAACAGCTGGCTTGAATTCAGAACAGTCACAGGCCTATGTCTGGTGGTCTAAACACTTCTTCGGTCCCATTTATTCAGAAGGACTTACTGCAACACTTTGACAGGTCAGTGAACAGGAGTAAGGCTGGTAAAGTGGTTGTACGTACAGAGTAACCACTTTTTACAGCACAAGAGTCTTATTAGATCAAAGCTACCGATACTTCATGTCATCATTCAATTATACTCACATCAGATCCCAAATTTCAATGAGAACTCAACACAGAGCAACCTGGTCAGTCTCACTTTAATTTAGTTTGTTGGATAACTGATTAATAGGTGTCATTTCTAGAAATGCACACACACACACGCACACACACACGCACACACACACACACGTACAACAAACAAGTAATTAGCTGATATCTCCATTTGATGTTTCTCTCCTTACTGATGTAAACCAGAGAAAGGGGGAAAACAGTAACAGTCGAACAGACCTTTTTCTCATTCCATCTCTTCTCTGCTTTTCCTCTCTCAAAAACAGCTAATGAATAGTGCTCAGAATAAAACACATATGGGTGTAAAAATGTTTCAGTGTTTAGATTTGGCATGTGAGGACACAGGGAAATCAGAGAGAGGTTAGGTTTTCATTAAGATACAATAGGCCAGAGAGCGGATGTGAGGCTATACTATATGTAACTCAATATGTAGCTGTGTCTCTTGACACCTGCGATTAATGTGAAAAACAAAAAGACAGCCGCAGACACAAACACTCAAATACATATAAGGAAGTCAGTCAATTTTAGACATCAGAGCTCTTTGAACCTTTTTAAGTTAAAACATGGGGTAACCAGGATCATTCGTTTCTAATTTAAGATGTTTTCCAGACAGTAATTGGATATTTTGGCTTGTATTTAAGAAAATCCATATGACAAGCTAAACTGTATGCTACACCACCTGTTGTATGTTATAAGGAGTTCGGTCTAGAACTGCTCCATTTGAAAAGTGTCTGAGATAACTTCTGTTATGTATTGGCTCTATACAAATAAAATTGAATTGAATTGAATTGTAGGCTGAAAAGCATTGGCCCTGAACCCCCTTTAAATGTTCAGGGACATATCTTTTGCAAGCTACTGGAGAAGTTCCAGCACTATTTATAGACAGGCTAAACCCATCTTACCGGATCTGGTTGTTTTAGTAAACCAGTAGCGAGATTCATCTTAAGCCCTGCCCAAACTGAATGATTGACAGTTTTTTATGGCATGCTAATGTTATCATTGTAAGAACACACAACTTTATATTCTTCAGTTTATACATTATTTTAAATATAGAGAATAGATATCATTAAAATATCTAAAAAGGATTTATCTGAAGGCGAGGGACTGAATAAAGGGGTTGGAGAGTTACCTTCTTCCAGGTAATGTGATATGTGATATTTTAGGTGATCAGGTCAGCAGCTTGCATGACCAAAATGAGAACTATCAGGAATTGGAGTTTCATGAAGAGCCACAGAGTATACAGTCATAAGCCCTATTCGCAGGGGACTAGTATTACCTGGGGACCTCATGTGATTTAGTAATTACCCCACCACCTCTGTGTTTTGTGCAGCGCATTCGCACGGGATAAGCGAAGTCTGTGTTTTAACTCGAATTTACTGACATTATCCCCCGGATATGATGTCAAGGCTCTGCGTAACCTATGAGTAACATCCGCTTCCTGGACGACAAGAGCAATGGCTGCAAAGAAAAAAACACGGCATTGGACGCGTGAAGAGACGCTCAGTTTAATTGCTGTGTAGCTAGATGAGCCTCCTGAATTTGCACCCAAAATGCTGTCAAAACTTTCATTTATAATTGCCAACGCAGCCTCCATAATTCTCGACTTGGAAAAAGGCAGAAAAAGGCAGAAAAAGGCAAATCACAGAGATGCCAATTCCAACGGGATATTATCACATGACCTCTGTGTTTGGCGAAATATGGTAGGTAATTTGCGGTGGAATTTTTACTTTACAAATTATGGACATGGCAGATTTGCACGGGATTAAGATCACAGACAACCTCCGCAATTATTACAAATTACTAGAGGTGCCCAGCTAATACTAGTCCCGTGCGAATAGGGCTATAGAATAGAGTGAGATGGATATACAGTAGATTATATGCCAATGATATCTATGTGTGCATCTGTCTGTGCGTTCAGGACTCATTTTGCTGCTTACCCGTGCGTCATATTCTAGGACAAACGGCGGGATGTCAATCTGCTCAGGTTTGATGCAGGTGAAGAGCTGCTGCAGGTTGTCCAGGTAGCGAACCTTGTCCTTCATCCCTGACACGCTGAAGGTGGTGAAGAACCATGTTGAAACCTTAAAGGAGACAATGTAGAAAGAGTGGAAATAAGAAAGGAACTCTTTATCCGTTATAGATTTAATCTTTATTTTATGTTAGCAGGATATTAATCTTGCCATAACCGACAAAGACAGAACTGAACACAACATTTTAAAGAAACAACAGAACTAGATTGAGCCTAATGAACCTTTAATGATCCCCAAGAGGAAGTTTGGCCAAAATATACTGCAATTCCAGTAAACAAAGAAATGGATATAAACCAAAAAGCACTCAGACAGCGCATTTGTCCGCCAAGGCTGCACAATTCCCTAGATATGTTGTTTAATAACAGACAAATATTTAGAAGTTTTGATTTTGCATCTGGATCAGGATTAGCATCTAAATACACATCTTGGATAATTCTTCATCTTGGGAATGTTAGAGCTTTGTCCAAGGACAGAAGTGTTCAAAATTTCAAGTGGGGTGGACACATACTGCTGAGCTATTTAAAATGATAATTGTTGTGCACCTGGCAAATTTCTGAAGGGCTGATGTGTGTTTGTGCAAATTACACATTACAATAGCACAAGATGCATTAAAGTCATGGCAGGTTATGTGAAGTAGGACACAACTGTAAAAAAAAAAATATGCCAACCAAGTACTGTATAGTTATCACAGTGCTACATACAAAAACCATGAATGACAACTTTGTTTTAACGTTAACCAAATGTTTTACAAAATGTGTGGAACACATTTGAAACGCAGTAAAAGTTAGTGTGAAAATGGTGGAACATATCTCTCAATAGAAATGTGTAACAAGGTTGTCATTATGAGCCAAAATATACAAATTATTCAGATGAATTTTATGAATCAAAATGTGTAATCAACCAGTAAATAAACAGAATGTCAATAACTCTTCCCATAATAAATCTTACCTTAGAGCGAAATGTCGGATGTACAAAGTAGAAAGCCTTTAAATTCTTTTTAAACCTGCAATACATAAAACAGACAACCTTAGCAAGAACACTTCACAGCAAGCAACAACGCAGTAGGACTTAAATGCAACAGAGAGGATAAAAAGAAGAAAATTAGCGAGTAATGTCTTCTCTTTCACCTCCTATGCCAAGATGTGCGTGAAGTGGCTGTCCCAAACAGCCGTCGATATTTATCTCGTCTGTTCAACAATGACGCTGTTTGAGCTAATTACAGTTCTTATTTGTTTTCAAACTAAATTAAAATCTAACACATTAATTCCCAGGTGAGAATGTTAAAGCATATGCTTTTCTATATTCTTCAATATATTATCAGACCCTGATATACATGCACAGTATTACTCTGTGCTATAGAGGTCTACTATTGTCCTCAAACTATTAAAAACACACCAGTGAGCCACAGTGTTGCACTGAGAGAAATGTTCCATCATTACCATGAACACACAGACTGTAGTTTATTTTGAGTCAATCCCACACGCACAGTCTGCTGCCATAAATAATCACTATTGCACCAAATATATATTAACCCATCGCGAGAAATTGCACAATTTCCTCCTGTTTTAATAACATTTGCTAAAGACCACAATTCCCAGCTATAATTAATAAGCCTTCTTTTCAAATGAAACTATATACAGTATTTGTGATGGGTTTGTAAAATCCAACTGGAAACACGATGAATCACTGTTGGATCACATCATTCAGTTAGAGAAGAGCAAAATGACGCTTTATTTCCATGTCAATACCATGGATTATTAGAGAGATGAGAAATTCATGTCATTTTAAAATATTTTAGGGAGAGCTCAGACATGAAAGTGAAACATATCTGGGGCATCTAGCCATACCAAGTAAGCAGTGACACCCTATATAAGAGTAACAAGCTTTAAAGCCGACGCCAGTGAGCATTTGTTTTGCCGTTCAAGTGTCCTCCTTGTCAACTGACTGAACCTCACAGCTCTGCAGCTGACACAGGAAGAAAAAAAAGTTTCCATTCATAGATCACTTATTATTGCATTTGATTGAACCATCCATTCTGTATATGTTCAGTTATTGAATAAACACTGCACTTGGGGATTTAATGCAAATCAGTCATTTGCTATTCTTCAGTCCACTGATGATTAATGACTGTGTCAGCTGGATGGGCTATTTGTAACCACACAAGCAGTGGGCTTCAGGATGGTGATGTCTGTCTGCAGGGTTCATCAAAAGTTAAATGTCTCAACAACTATTTGATGGATTGTCGTTAAAATTGGTAAAGACATTCATGGTCCCTAGATGATTCATTCTAATTATTTGAGGTCTTAAGGTTACTCCGACTTTTCATCCAGTGCCACCATGACGTCACAATTGCCCATATTCATCCAACATCTTGGTTCTTGACAAGATATTGTAAGTAGAAAGCAATAGCTGGATTACCATGTATCTTCTCCTGGCCTAGCACCAACCACAGATCGGACTGACTTCGTACGGAAAATATCTCAAAATATCAGCGTGCTCCCTGTAGGGAGCACCACAGTGTATCATCTGTAGATGATCCACATATTTTGATTTGGGAGAGGCTTTTTACACTGGATGCTTTTCCTGACGCAACCCTCCCAATTTATCTGGGCTTGGGACCGGCAATTAGGAATGCACTGGGGCTTGTGCATCCCCAGTGGCTGGGGAGCAAACCGGGGTTCAGTATCCAGCCCAAGTACACTTCGACATGTGGACAGGAGGATCAAACCACACCCTACGACCCTCTCTATCATGTGAACCACAGCCAACCATTAATTCAAAATATCAACTATTCAATTAAAATGTTGATTTCCATTTTGTTTGTGTATTGTACTATGCTGCACTAATCAGAACTAATCAGATGCAAGAACCACTTTAACTAAGCTTGTCCCTAAGGGTATGTCCAGTCGTCAAAGGAAACTCATTTTAGTCACTGGTCTCCATGATCTCATATACCAAGAGCTCATTAACAGAGGTGAGGATTGGAATATACTGGTAAATTGAGAGCTTCACCTTCAGACAAAGCTCTTTTTACTACGAAAGTCTGGATTAATGCAGCCAAAACCCACAGATGGTGCACCAATCCGTCTGTCAATCTCACACACCATACCAGAATCACTTATGAAAGGACTCCAAGACACTTGAACTCCTTCAGTTGGGACAGCAACTCCGTCCCAACCAGCAGGGAGCAATCCACCACTAACTGGCAAAGTACCACAAACTCAGAACTGGAGGTGCTGACCCTCATCCCAACCACTTCACCCTCGGCTGCAAACCTCCCCAGTGTGCTGGAGGTCATGGTCCATTGAAACAAGAAAACCACATCATTGGCAAAAAGTGGAGATGCAATCCTGAGGTCACCAAACCAGTATAAGCCAGTTAAACTGGTGATTCCCGAATAATTAGAAGCACACTCTCCAAGTTTCCTTGTCTTGAAGATGGGATCACCAGTCACGAGTCACTGTCTCTTGATTCCCATGTGACAGTGAAACCGGAGACTCAGGGTCAATCTCTGAAACCAACAAACCTGAATTAACCTAAACTGATCACTAAACTAATATCAGCAGGTATTTTCAAATGTCAGTGACTGACTAGCTTTTACAGACTAGGCTAATCAGCACTGGTAGTGGAGACTTGGCTGTTCATTTTATGGCAGTACACTGACAATAGCTCACGACATTTGCAATAGTTTGAATTGTTATGCCACACACAAACACACGTGCAGTGGGGGTCTGGCTGGGGTAAAATGCATCTGTTCAAATAACACAAAAACAGTTGGCCAAGAGGGAAACTTGATATTTTAGTTGACAAACTAACTCAGAGGGGAATCAGAAGTACTAAATCATGACGTGGGGATCCTGCTCTGGTCCAGCGCCGGACCCAAAGAGGACAAAAATAATGATCAACTTCACAAGCTCCTCTGTCTCCTGGAGAAAGTAATCAAAATCTTAGCCACAGTTTTGACAGTTTTGGAAACTTTTGTGTTCATGTTTGGCTTTAGTCTGCTGGTTAGGTTGTCTGGAGCCAAAATGCATCTGCAGCAAATCAATAGACTGCTGGGTTTCACATGCTGGACATGCCAGGTCAGGGTTAGTGGTTCCATTGCCTGCGTAGATCAGAACTGACTCCCAGAGCCAAAAGAGCAGCGATCGCTTGAGAAGGGAAACTGAGAAAAGTTGCTTCAGAATTAGTCACACATCCTGAAAAAAAGAGTTGAGACATGAGTACAAACTGTAAGACTTACAGTCAGTCTAATAACACTTACAGATTAATGTTGTGTTTATATGAAATTTGACCCCTACACATGATCTGAAATATAAAAGACTTGTGTGCTGCTTGCTCTGTAGAGTAGAATAAGCACAGCAAGTAACAGAGGAAAGGGTTTGGTTTCCACTGCGACTGCCTGGCCCTACAATGTTGCAAAGTAAATTATAGCATCCTCTGAAAAACCTAATAAAAATGAATCATAGAATAAAGAAAAAGAAGATGACTGCTCACTAAATAACTGCAATAAATAACATAGAAAGCTACTGAGCTTATATCACTGCTAAAAGACAAACCTTTTGGAAGAAACAAGTTCTTGTGTTTTTCTACTCAAATTGTTTCAAACACAGGCAACCAAAGAGCAATATACAAGTCCAAAGTTGTAGCTTTAAATTAATATCTTAGTCTGACCAATCCTTCTTCAATCTTCTCATGAGCCAAAGCTAAAGGTTTGCAGAGAGTTTGTGGGACTTTAAATTACCTTGACATTTTAAGGTGATTAGCATAACACTCTGAGATGAATCAGCAAAGTGTACTAAACCAGTCCTCGTTACTGTTTATGACTGAATTGGGTTTCCCTGTTCCAATGAAAGGGGAAGTTGAATGAAAGGGTATTCATTCATATTTAACGTATGAATGGGACATTTTGTCTTGCGCTCTTTTTGTTTGCTCTCATTACCGTGTGACTAAAATAAAGCACATAACCAGCATATGACTTTGACAGCCTTTGGGTGACAAATGTGTCATGTAAAATGAAGGGAAAATATCAGGAATATGTTTGTTGTACAAGACTTAAGTGTTTCACTGAATTTTCCAGACAGAAAAAAGTTAAGAAAGGTGTGGTGAAACCAACTGAATGACCAGTCTCAGAAAGTAATGAGTGGAGGAACACAGGGGTTAAAAGTTATGACTGCATGGAGTTTCCCACTCACACAGGAAGCTTGTTTGAGTTGTGGTTTCTAAAAACTAGAAAGAGACTAGAACTACAAAAGTGTAATTAACACACTGAGCCCTGGAGTTTTCTCTTAAGTAGCTTCCAAATTAGAAAAACAAAGAAATTATTTTATTTTCAAAGCTATGACAGTATATTCTATTTTTATGTGTTTGTGTATGTTGAAGGGTGTTATACAACAAACTGTACTTGCTTTAAATGCTATATTAAACTACATTAATTTATGCTGACAGTGGATGAAACAATAAAAGGATCATTCTGGTTTTTTATCAATTGATTCAAATGTTTAGCCAACTTTGAGATGATATATATAAAAAAAAATCAAAAACCACTTAATTTGGAGGTAAAACTGAACGTGGGGGAGCCAAAAATAGCATGTATAATATACAATCTCTCTGGGGTATCGTTTAAAAAATGCCAATACCAGCACCAATACCAGTATCCTTCAAGTGATATCCATACCAATAGAGTGCTCGGATTAAGTCGAAGAACTCTTGGCGGCTTCGAGTGTAACCATACAAATAGTATTTTTTTTCTAGATCTGGGTAAAAAAAAATAATCAAAAGCTGGCAAGAGAAGTTTAAATACTACCGGGTTATTTCGATCAATATCTTAAAAAGGTCTTCAGTACAGATACCCAGCAATACTCATTGCATGTGTAGATGAGAACTGGAAATTGGACTGTAAACTTTGATGGTTGTTTACAACAGACTGTTTGGGTAATAACTCACATTTGTCCGCTCTTCCAAACTACCCTAACCTGAAGGTTTGTTTAAACCAGTCTGATCATCTGACTGCTTGTGTTTCTTCTTCTTCAGATGTCCTCTAAAACCTAAGATGCCATTTTTCCATGACTGCAGCGTTGTCAGATATCTCAAGCTTCATTTTTCTGCAGTTCAGTCTGACATATTTTGTATCTTTGACTTAAATTAAATGTAGGTTTAAACAATGCTTGGCTGCACAAGGTGTTAAAAACATTGAATCCATCAGAGTCTGTGAGGGTTGAAAGTACTGTATCACTTTACAGTAGATAATACAGAACTGTGGTCTACTCTGATGGCCGGGTGGAACTGTAAACAACTGGTTTTCATTTGGAGGATGTGGCTCCTATTTAGCTTAAATGAACATGGTGAATCTCAGAGCAGACTGCAAACAGAGAGAGGTGCTGTCAGGCTGGTACTGACACATCTGACCACATGTGTAGAGTATTTGATGTGATAAAGTTAACAGCATATTCAGAATCTTGAAGAAAAAAATGACATCTTTCAAGTTTCTATATAGAATCACTGATTAAGATGCAGGTCTGACTTCTCGACAGCATCTGTCTCTGAGACAAATTACCATGCATATGTCTCAAGATACAGTGAGAATGTTTTTGCAGTTTTCATGCGTATTTGACACTGGCTTTATCCTGTATCTATTGAAAATAAGATAACTTTTCTTCAGTGTGATTCAGATTTCAAAGGTGGGCCACGGGAGGCCCATTTTTCCAACTCAAATGTTTTCACAAACAAATAATAATAATGTCTTACAATTACTTTTGTAAGTGATTCCTATGACGGGCCTATCAAGAAGTCAGAACAAGGATCTGCTTTCAAAACTTTAAACCCTCTGATTAAGGCTGAGTCACAGCCAATACATCACCCCAGAACACGCTCCAAGTTTGGGTTTCCTGTTCCAAATATGGCCGCCAGATTTCCAAACCGTCAGCGAAACAAAAAGGTTTCACAGCTCGTTGTGCTTTCCCAAAAGTCTAAAGACTGTAACCTTGGCGGTGTCATACTGTAAGCATGAACAATATATCTGAACTTCAATGCAGCTGCAGATGTCAGCATAGTCAGAGGAGGACTGAGGGAGAGCCAGAAGAAAGCCAAATGAAGATCAAATGACAGCCAAAGCGCACAGAAGATGCCTTTGTAGACCCAGCTATAGATTTGCTACTGATAAGGCCAGAAAGAATTCTCATATTGCACTCCCATATTACACCTGGATAGACTTAACGTCTTATTACTTTAAAACAGACAAACAAAAAAACGCCAGGGAGCTTTCAAAGTCTCTCTGAACTTTCTTCCTTCTGGAAGGTCTGATGACTTTTTGTATCATTACTTACAAGAAAAACCATCACACTATGTTTGACATGCAGTACTGGCTATAACAGAGCGAAGACATAGCTGGCGAGCAGAGTTAACCAAATCACTGCAAACCCAGAACATACAGCACAGAACATTAAAGTCGTGCCATTGGGTGAGTAGGAGGTTAAAGCAACAGCTCCGGTTCTTTTCAGTCATTGTGTGTGGCAAAGGGAGTAAACAAAACTGAGAGGAGAAAGACTAAAACAATGGGAAACTAAGCTAATGTCTCCACTAATTAGCCTTCTATTTTACTTCGAAGAAATCTCATTTTGGATCAAAGCAACCAACTAGAAATGGATGGTATAAAATGTTCAACAGGTTGAACAATAGATTATGTTCATTTTGCCCTATTTATACCTCTCCCACAGGACATTACTCGCAATAGCAGTCATTGGCTCAGTTTAACAAGGAGTGTAAAATGTCAGACTGACTTGGCCTCAACGATGTCGTAGAGGTTCTTGAGGAAATCGGAGTCCAGGTGGTTGTGCTCGCCGGTCAGCGTGTGGAAGTAAACCATCACATACTCCTTCACTGTGATGTGGTCCATCACATGGATGAAGTACAGCAGCGCCTGCACACGCAAACACAAACTACATCAGTGTGTATACACTTTTATAGCCTTAGAGGGTTTTTTGTTTTGTTTTGTTCAAGTTTTAGTATATATTAATAAATGTTAATGTGCAAATGTAAATCCACAAAAAGGCATCTACTGAATCACAGGCACATGCACACAAAACAAACGCAACAATTAGACGTGTAAACACAACCACGCAACTCTGGTTAATATAAAAGATGAACACATGCTCAAAGATGGAATCAAGCCTGACTGTAACATCAATAAAAGTACTTTATTGTGAAATAACCAGTCTATTTTGTTACCTTTTCAAGGTCGATAAGGGTCACTGGGATGTTTCGTCCAACCAGAATCATCACTGTCCTGCCACACATATCCACACCTGGGGACATACAATATTACAGATATATCAACTATGTCTGTTTATCAGGTAACTGCAAAGCTTTCATTGCTGCAGTGTTTCAGCTCTAAAATGTCTTTAGATCATCTCTCAGTTCAACAAAGACGGTGTTAAATCTTCACTGGATTTCATGTTGATACAGTTTGGTGCTCTTTTCTTTATCTGTTCAGCTATTATCACGGTTATCACTGCTTGTGGTGACAATGTTCTGTTAAATTTTCATAAATCTTTCTCTAAAATGTTTGGGTTTTTATTCCAAAAAAAGAGAAGCAGTATTTTAGTGCAGAACCTTTTTCTCAATTAATACACTCACAGAGTACTGATGGTAAATGGTGAATGGTAAATGGTCCTGTACTTGTATAGCGCCTTTCTAGTCTTCCGACTACTCAAAGCGCTTTTACACTACGTGCCACATTCACCCTTTCACACACATTCACACAGTGATGACAAAGTCCATCGAACAGAAACTAACATTCACACACCAATGAACGGCATCGGGAGCAATTCGGGGTTCAGTATCTTGCTCAAGGACACTTCGACATGTGGCACCAGTTTAAGGAACGACCCGCTCTGCCTCTAAGCCACAGCCGCCCCCTAGATGGTCATCTATAAAGTAGAAATGCTGAACATTTATTGGTTATAGCGTCTCAAATGTGAGGATTTGATGCTTTTCACTTTGTTATGTAAATTAAACATCTCTGGGTTTGGAGCAGTCAGTTGGACAAAACAAAAAATTTTAAGACTATGAATAAAATTGAAAACATTTAAACCAGCAACCGGAAATAGAAGTCCCTGATATGTTGCATCACAACTGGACAGTTATTTATCTGAAAATGTTGCAGATATAAGTTAACTGCATCTGTAAGGAGTAGTTGATTAACTGATTAGTCAATCAGAAAAGTAATCGCCAGAAGCTGATAGTAGCAAAGGTAGGTTTGTGTTCTTCTTCTGGTCTGTCAAATCTGAGACCAGTCTATTCTGACATTTTAAATAATGTAATTGTTTACTGTCCACAATACTGGCATAAAATCAATAAAAAGATTTGAAGAAAACAAACAAAGAAAAGTAATTGCCAACAATTGTGATGATTGATTAATGGTAACTGGTGAGAAAAAACAACTAATCTGAAAACATGCTCTGGGAATTTTTTATAATTATTTTTGGGAAAATAAACGATGAATCCATTTATCAGGAAAAGATAATTGCTTGTTTAACAATTATGTTGCATTATTTGCAGCTCTAATTTATTTGTAACTATGGAATTTGTGTTTTGTCAAACAGTTGTCGTTTTATACTGTGGACCCAAAGAAACATTATTTTGAACTGTATTCTTACATCTGAAATGAAAGGTTGACTTAACCTTTAAACTGTCTTACACAGATGCTTGAAATAATAAGCCTATTTTGAACACAAAGTGGTAATCTTCCCACATCACCTGCTATCAAAATAGAAAACTAATCTTCTGCCCTGTGATATGGGTTCCTGTAATAAATACTGATATATTCATATTTTGTCAAGTGGTGACAAAGGGATATACTGGTAAATAAAAACTGAGGCCTCTATTGAAGATCACCATTATAAAACAATTAACTACAGGAGGGAACAGAAATCAGCTTTCAGAAAAGCATTCTATTCTGCATTTAGTTCCTTTTAAAGCACCTTACATTAGTTACATTAGTTTTATGCTATGTAATGCGTTTTATTGCAATTAAATATTGTTACAATTCAAATCAGAACAAAGTGGGGTCAATAAGTTCACATGGGTTTAAACATTTCCCTGGTTTGAAAAAACAGGTTACACAAAGCAATTAAAGTTTGCAAATATACTTTTAAATCTGAAGTCATAGGCCCATAACCAAATGAAAAAACAATGGAGCTAAACTTGTTTAATAACACTGCCTCCTACTGGTAATGAGATTCAATTGCACCTTATAACAGTTGAGAATCGGACAATGGATAACTACACCAACAGCGCTGTGTTCAACGAGGGGAAAAAGGAATTTTACCAGATGAAAGGTCACCCAACACGCACACACTTGTAGGCAGCCTTGCACACAATACACACCTATGTAAATGGCCTTCTTTTGTTTCTGTTCTGTTGTCTGCATTGGAGACGTGACACATTCACACTGAAAAATCCAAGGATCTAATATCCGACTTCTCTCTCCCCTCCTGCTTCTCCCTCTCACACATTAACACATACCAGTTTGATATAAAGCTTTCAGTGCAGCGATGTCCGACAGATCTTCCGCTCTTGCCCGGCACAGCCAGCGATTGTAACTGCAGGAGACAAAGACACAGACAGAAATGGCTTTAATTTATGGTTCATGGTTACATGGCTGCAACACACAGCATAATACACAGATTGGACTGTTGCCTCTCTAGAAGTTTCACCATTATGTAACAACATAAAAAATAAAAACAGCTTTGTTAAAAGTTTAAGCAACTTGTGGGTAAGTAATTAATGTGTACATAATCTTTGCTATGACTTAAGAATGTGCAGTTAATGCAATAAAATTATTGTGTTGTGTGATATAAATAATATTCTAAAGTATGATCATGATGTCTAATAAACTGTTCCAACATATAAAACTTTGTGTTTTTACAGTATGTTCCAGTAATTTTAGAATTTGGTTGGACTCTTACTTCCTCTGGTGTTGTTTCTGCATGGCTGCCTCTGACATCTGGCCCTGTAGGATCTGTTTCCGCTGTTTGTCCACATCACCCTCCATCCGGGCAAAAGCGTGATTCCCCACCTGACCCAGATCTGACTCCAGACTCTCCTCTTCAGAATCATCTGCACAAACAAAAACACAGATAACTAGTTATTTACTTTTAATTAGGGCTACACAATTAATCGAAATATTACTGAAATCGCAAAATATGGCCAAGTTCAATATGCAATTTCAATAGCTACAATTTTTGATGAATGTAAAATGTAAGAAAACATGTTTGTTTAGTACAGACCCTGAAAAATGTTTCATTATCATGATTGTAATACTTTTTCCAGTGAAAATTATAAAGCAAAAAATTATAATTTAATGTTTTTACCATATCATGCAGCCTGACGTTTTATTTAGTTAGATGCAGGTAGGACAGATGTTGCAGCATATTCAGGTTTGCAGTATATTCAATGCAACATACACTAATGAGACCCTAAATATACATCTTATGAAAGCAGTAAAGAATCCTGTATTTGGCTTCATTTTGATCTCTGATATGATCGTTTTCCCCCCAAAAGATCCACTGTAGTACTACATTTGCATGGTTGTACTTGCTTGCCCGTCTTCATTTTATTTCAGTGATTCCAATTTATCTGCAAGCATTACATTATTTGTGTGTGTGTTTGTGAAAAAGCTGCTAGTGAGGTCACAAACTCAGAAGACAGAATTCAGGCTCAGGTTCAAGTCTATTTCTCTGCTTGTTTTTCTACAACCACATGCATGGTCATATGTCCACGCATTTCATCTACATCCAAATGGACATGTGCGTCTGTCAGCGTGTGTACAACAGCCTGTTGTTATTGGGTTTCGCTCACAGTCGGACTGCTTGTTTTGGATCAACACCCCAAAGCCACATCTCGTCCTTTTCAAGCGTCACACCAGCAGACGTTGGATTGGGGGTCAGAGGAGTCAACTGGCTCAACGTAGAAACCACAAACACTTCTTAACACATGGGCTGGTGTTACTTTCACAATCCTCTTCTCCAAAAGCTAACATTTAGACAAAGTGCAAGCAAAAGCTTAGGTTGGTAAACTAACAAGGTCATACAAAATACAGTTTATATGAGGATTTAAGGCCTTAAAGGGAGTTTGAACTGAAGCTGCCAGTAGTCAGTGTCTCACTTCCCCTTTTTGTTGTCCATTGCCCGTCTGATAGTCTATGCAACAGAGCCAACTAGTGTACATATGGTCATATAACCCTTTCTCCATTCCTTCATGACAACTGCAAAAACTAATACATAAGGAGGACAAACAAAAGCAAAAAATAACATCTGCTGGATAGATCTTCCTTCATTTGGTACTGGCATGATGACTTGATATGATGTCTATCATTTAGGGGTGTATGGGTGGCTGAGGGGTATAAGAAGCTGACTGTGACATTGCAACATTCCCAGTCTGAGTCCTTCCCTATCTCTCTCTCTCTCCCCTCTGTCAGATTAGTGAACTGAATTGTATACCTTCTAATTAAGGAAAACAAAAAGATGATCATTCAGGGCATCATGCAGGACAGTGGTGGAGTGATAAACGGGAGGGTCGGGAGAAATCATGGCGTGCCAGCAGTGTACTGTGGGATGATTGCTGTGGGTTGACTACGGTGTGGACTGAGCTGTGAAAGTTGAGTATTCTGTGTCCTTATATAAGCACTTACTTTGTTAATGGCCAGACCAAGTCAATAGTAGGGGAATAAATTAGTTGCCCCTGCCTAAATAGTAAAGTCCTACCTTGAATTGAAGTCTGGACAGTCCAGCCATGTTGGCACACCGAGTTGAGGAGAGAATAAAATGAAAAGGGAAAGCAGCAGTGCCAATAATACTGATTAAAAAGGAAAACACACCTTAGCAGACTGCAATGCACTGCAAGTGCTCAAAAGTAATGGATATATTTTGGGCAGGTGATCAGCATAATTTTCAGACTGAAAGAGTCCTGCCCCGCCCCATGATGGAAGACTACAAACCTTCATGGAAACCAGACTACTGAAATTTGTTTTAGGTAGAATGAAGCAGGTTTCGTTGCATTTTTCTTTACACATGACTTTCCCTAAAACAACATCAACAACAAACAAAAATCCCTATCTATTGTACACATGAGCAGAGGCTGAGTGCTGAACACCAGAAGTAAGAGGGCATTCAAGGTCTCAGAGTGAAAACAATCAACCCAAACCTTTTTTTTTTTTTTTTTTTAATAAAACCCATCAAGCACCTTTCAACACTGCCCTTGTTGCTGAATAAAAGCAATTAGAAAAATGTCTTGCTAACAAAAAAGACTGGAATTTAATATGGAGACATATAAAAACATTGTGTCCTAAAACAACCTGTGACTGCAGGACACCTGCTCTGTGTTAGTCAGGCCTGCCGGTCGCCATCTGAAACGCTTTGTAATATGCAGATGATACTCTTTGGAAAACATGAAGCCCTACAGAAAGACATGGCTCGCTGAAAGATTGAGAGTACTGCGCAAGTGGGTGTGTGTGAGTGTGTGAAGGTACTGGTGTAGGCTGTATTTGATGTTTGGGCTGACGTTTTGACTGTGGCACTGGACATGTGACTGACTGTGTGGTTTGTTGACTGATTTACTGATTAATTGACAGGATGACTGACAGGTGGTTGAATTGGTAGTTAGCCATATGGTTACTGAATCACTACTTGGCTGACTGACGGACTGAGTGACTGGTTACCTCTTTACCCACACAGAGAAAACAGACTGTCCACCCTGACAGATTAAAGTTATTTTGTTTTAATTTTTTCAAAATGAAAAACAAACACTGTAAACAGGGAAAGCTTCAGCTTATTAACCAGTTAAAACTGGTGCTTTTTATTGTGCTCTTGACACCTCAGTTATCTTTGAAGTGCCTCAAACTAAATTAAAAGCCCTGATCTGTCCGAGGTCAAAGGAGGGAAAAAACAACAACAAATGGTTCCTTTTCCTCAGTGTGAGATGTGTGAGATAAATGAGGACAGAAATGGAAAGTTATTAAATATGAATTGTGCCTGTGTGTTTATTTCGCTGACTCATAGCAACAGCCATAAAAGCACATTAATTAATCTTGGATTGTTTTTTTAGTCAATCAAGTCTAAATCTAAAATTAAATATCAACCACTTGAAAAGAATTGATGCCTACTCTCTTATAATAGATTGCTGACATGAAAGTGAAGCACATTACGTGTCCTAATACCAGGAAAGACTTCATCACATTATATTGAAAAAAGTGTTGAAACTGTACCTTCCAGGGTGCCTGGTTTCTCTGCGATGCGAATCTGTCTCTCTGGGACGACCGGTTCACCCTCTGAGTTGCCAATGTCAGCTGGGATGAGTGGCAGGCAGGCCTTCTCTTCTTCCTCAGAGCGAGGGTAGTAGAGAGGCAGTAACTTCTTGTACACCGGCTGCAAGGACACACATATCAGTATACATATTAATGCCCAAAATGATACATACTGACATCTTCGAGAGCACAGCAGAATAAGGAGGACTGATCTGGTTCAGTCTTTCATGACACCCAGTATCTAACTTTCTGAACTGGCCTTGAGCAAGACAATAAAAGGTGTCAGTGTGCTTCAACCCAAGTGTCAAAACCCTTCCCACCACAATTTCAATAACTTATTCATGTCGCGATTGGCCAGGTGAAGTGACAATGGTTTGACCTTTTTTAATTTTTTTATAATACACTTTTTAGTTACTCGTACAGTAATTTTGGTGGAGTGTAGGTAAAGGGAACTGTCACAGACTAAAGTCATACAAACCTCATCTGTGTCTGACACTGCGAACACCACCGCCTCTATGCTGTTTCCATGATTTTCCAGGAACCTGCGCACTGTTCCTATACACACACACACACACACACACACACACACACACACACACACACACACACACACACACACACACTGCATATAAAGACATGTCTTGATTGCATAAATAAATAAAATAAATAAATGAATAAATAAAATTATAAAATGTAAAAAATATAGTGAAAAAAGTCCATCACAAGTTCCAAATATCCTAGACGATTTCTCTAAATTGCAACAATTGTTTATTGTTGTATTATACTAACAGATTTCACTATGCAAATACAGAAAACTTTTGAGGAAGCATCCCCTACTGAACTCAGTGTATGTGGCCTGGTATATAACCTCTATGGGTGGTTTATGTCACTGGATCTGTAATGTGTTTGGGTGCATCTGAAACACGGATGTTTCAGTTTTAGTTGTATATCATCAGACAATTGTGCATACTTTAAGTGAACTTGTCATTTAAGTTGAATGTCAGACAGACATAAAGGATTGCAGTGTGTGTTATAATTAAATTTGTCTTGTCTGCTTGTATAATTTGTTGACGTAATTTTATATACACACACACACACAAGTTTTAGGTGGTGTGTCTTTGTGGGACTGAGTTTCAGTGCTGTTTGTTACTTAGTTCCCAAGGCAATTATCTATGAGTATTTGGGACTGTGTGTGTAGCAAAAAATGTGTGATATGACGTGATAAGTGACTATCCTATGCATTTTATCACAAGCTGTGTATATCTGTACCTCACTGGTAAAAGGTTGTGTGCGTTTGTCTTACTGAAAGCGATGTGTGTTGCGTCCTCCAGTGGGTAACCTCTTTTGGTTGTGCTCACCACACAGAAGCCAACAGATGCCATCGACTGCTCTCTGAGGTGACAAGAAAAAATAATCTTACATACTGTACACCACATTTACAGTAAGTGGTTAGAACACACACACAGTAAGTTTTTACAAATATAACTACGCATACTATTCCAAATATAAAAGTACTTCTTATTTTAAAAGTAAGTACTAGATTATCAGAACTTTGTACATTTTCAATATTCTTTTTTATATTATATTCATATTTTATTATAGCTGCAGTATTAGACAGCGACACAATCAAGCAGACAGCCACAATATCACTAAAATGTATATCACGTCAGGCAAATACAAAATGCAAACAAGAAGTCATAGCTGCTGCGAGAAGCCTCATTAGCCTTTGGTCTGAGGCTGCAACGTTTTGAATGTGCAAATCCTGTATTTCTGACTTTTGAATGACTGCCTTTAAGGAGTTAATATGTTCAGCTACATTTCAAGTTTTACCATCGACCCCAAAGACAGATGCAGCTCTTCTCTAAACAGTGTTTTTTGAGATGTTTATTCCTGCTGTCTTTCAAATGAGTTTCAACAAATCATTGTTTATTTGCACCCATCGGGCACAAATATTGTTCAAACAAAACCATATCCGAGGGGAAAGAGCTGAAATCTGAAAAAATCTGTCATGACAGCTCAACTCAACAAGAAATTAAGTGATTTCACATCACTTCTATAACTTGTTGCTTCGCCAGATAAACACACAATTACGTGAGAGGTGTGTGTCTTTGATTACCGCACATTAAAAAAGGTCCAGTTTGTAACTTCTAATTCAGGAGGATCTATTGGCCACAATACAATATAATATTCATACGTATGCTTTTTTGTGTATAATCGGCTGAAAATAAGAATCATTGTGTTTAGATCTAAAGAGGGAGCGGGTCCTCTTCCACGTAGGCCGCCATGTTGAACCACCATATTTCTACAGTAGCCCAGAATGGACAAACTAAATTCTGGCTGTGGATAGGGCCCTTCTTGTTTTTCGTGAGTTTCACGGCCACCGTAGTTCCTCCCACACACTTGGAAGGTGTGTGGTATTCAAATGGTTGCGATCTTCAATTTCACCACTAGATGCCACTAAATCCTACACACTGGTCCTTTAACAACAGCCTGGTTTAAAAGTGATTGAATGGTTGAGTTGATGGTTCTTACGCAGCCAGTTGCATGATGTTCCTGTAGCAGCTGTACAGCGAACTCTCCGCTGCCGTCCGGTACTTGGCTTTGTATTTTGGTCCCACCGTGTGGATGATGAACCTCGCCGCCAGGTTGAAGCCTTTGGTCAGCTTCGCCTCCCCCGTCCGACATCCTGCACACAAACATGCAAATAAAACAAATTTGCCATTTAATATGAAGTTGATTGGGGAAATTTTTTTTATGATTTTAAAGGCCAAATGACAACAACTGTTGCATGTGCAAAAATCTTTACAAATTTGAAATTTCAAGTATGGATTCAAGGCTTTTAAAAAGGTTCAAGCTATTCATATTACAAGAATGTATCTGCTATCCACCCATGCAGATATTTTCAGTTTGAGTGCTTGAGATATTTGCATTATACAAATATAACAAAATAAAATACTTAGTAGAGTGGATAATCTCTTATGGAGATTACTTGTAATCACATGACCTAAGGATGTGGTTGAAAGTTTCAGAAATAAAAAGGAAGTTGTGCCATATGTGACAATTCTTCAATCACCAACAAAACACAATCTTATTTCTTTTCAGTATGATGTAGACTCTTCCAAAAACAATATGTATCATTGAGGTTTTAGAAACATTTCAATTCAGCAGCTGTGGAGCCTTTCTAAAAGAGGAGCGATTGCAGTTAGGACCCCGCTTTTTTTTTTTCTAGTTCAGCTGATCATCATGTGCCTGGCCCACAGCATCACTGAGCAGGAAGTCTCAAAATCAAACTTTTCGTTTTCATCTTTCCAGTTCTTTCCCCCTCGACTACCTTTGAGTTTAAGAAGCTCGTCTCGCAGCTCAGGCCCTGCTAGCTGATGGATGCTGTCAGACACTGGGTTTTTGTCATTCAGCGACTCGTTGCTGGTGTTCACGATAGAGGTGCAGTTCAGCAGCGCCACATCACCAGCGCTGTTGTGGAAAGGAAGAAAGAGTGACTTTATTAAAATTTATATGTGCATGAGTTATCTGGATATAGAATTGGCAACAAAACTTTTAGATTTTATTTCATACAAAATCCCAGACACCATTTTGTCTGCAGGTCCACAATAAATGGCTTTATTCAATTTTTCTCTAGTAATTAATGTGTAAATTTGTTGAATTCACACAAATAAGTAGAAAGTTCATTCACATTTAACCTTCTCAAAACACTGGAACAGTTATTGTGTGAGCGCACACACACACACACAACCATTAGTCTGCACACATTAATCCAAATAAGCTTGAATATTTCACTATTGAGCTAAAGTAAAATGCTTATTTTACTTGCTTCAGAAAAGTCATTTCTTCATTCTGAGGACCTCCAGGGTTTGTTTGGAAAGGACAATGAGGAACTACTTGAGCGCCATGTGTTGAAAGCATTTGGTCACAGGACAAATTCAGCCTCCAGAAACGTTTTTTTTACATCATCCCTCTTAGGTTAATAAAAATGAGTCACTCTTACTGAGAAACAGATCTTGTTGGCAGTCGCAGCCTTTCAGAACCCGTTTTACTGAGTCTTATCTTCATCTGTCTAAATATATAGGTTACAAATGTTCCTAGTGGAGCAAAATGGCAACGAGTAAGTAGTGAGTAGTCTGAGTCACACTTTTGGGTGTGCCATATAATTGTTCATGACAGTAGTGGCATCATTTTTAATGTGATAAACATTGTGACACGTTGGCATATTTTTGTCATGACTACAGCTACTGCTGCCAGTTCTGCTGTGTTGAGTTGGTTCCAAAAAAGGGAAGTAACTTTGGTGGTGTGGCAGTGGACACAGTCAAACTGGAATTGTTATAATAATATAGTAATTTAATAATACAATTAATCATTTGTATAAATTTAATAAATTGGCATCGCAAAAATGTTTCTATTCCATCATTATTAGCATCCATTTCCTCAAAGACCTTCCACTGAAAATTCTGCAGGGAAAATAAGACATGGATTTTGAAATGCTCATACAAAAACTCATCTGTTCAACCAGCCACATTCGCTGTAGAATGAATAAACTGAAAATAAGCCTTCTTAAATGCCTGCATTTTGTTTAGATATGATTTGTATTAGAGGGGACAATTTGATTTAGTATTATTGACTGTCTGACAAGTTTAAAAGACAGAAAGCAACTAGGTGTGAAATAGACACATTTTTTTACTTGGTGCAGTATTATGAGAGGCATATTTTATTGGAAAACAATAACAGCCTCTTGTTTCATTTCATCCTATAATGACGAATAAAAATGCACGTCGTGTCTGTAACAATTTGGTTGGCTTCCATGGAAATTAGTATGCAATAGACAGTATAGGAGATGGTATCTCCATTCTGTGTCAGCTTTCTACCATCATCCTCTTGGATAAACAGGTTGAAAATTATTACCAGGAAAAAAATGAAATTCTATTAATATTGGTCACAAGCTAAAAAAAAAAAAAAAAAAAGATACCACTGCTTGTGGGTCAATTCTCCTTGGAGCTCTGGTCATGTTAGTGCAGCAGGAATGCGCTTGCTCCTGATGACGAAGCACGGGAGGGCTGCTGAAACAACAGGGCTTTTACAGAGAAGCCACTGCCAAGTCGGGCTGCGGATGGTCATGTGTTTCTCCACAAAGAGGATTTACAAGGTGATCTGGACTCTGAACTGGTCTGGGGGAGCACGTGGAGAGACACAGGCAGCGTTCACATCGCAGAAACAAAACTGCTACTAATACCTGATGAATGTGTAGGACGTAAGACACATCTAATACTACTATTAACTGCCAGTAATGACCAAAAACACACGCATGCCTAGAGCAAAAATAAACACTGCTTCCCCTGCTTGTGTCTGTCTTCATTTCGCAGAAAAAAGTCAAAATTATGGAGGTTTATTTACAATATTTCTGTTCCTAACTAAGCCTAAGTCTACCTCAATCTTCCATACAAGCTACCTGTATGCTGAATGCATCGGATGAGGATTTGGAAGACTTTGGAGCTGCAGTGTTAACAGAGTGCAAAAAACAAAAACCAAAAAACCTGTAGTCTAAAGGTCAGATTGAATGTGATATTTGACTGGTTTCAGCATGGATCCACTCTGAATCTATCAATAGTCTACTGAGACAGCAATTTGATAAAGTATAACAAACAGAAGACAAATTCAGGCTAATCAGTGGATCATTTAATAACAGAGTAAATTAATCTTCTCCAAACAGTAGGCTGAATTCAATGGAATCACATGATTCACTGTTTAAAGTACAAAGCAAGCATTTATAAAAAGGAACACGCTGCACTGATACCATAAACCAACATTTCATAGACAGAAATCAAAATCTAATATAAATGGGCTAAAAATATATTTATGTTTTAATGGAAGTACAGATGTATTTAAAAGAGCATGTAAACAATAGGCAATAGGCACAGGAACTGGAAAATCTAATTCTTTACTCTGTATGAAAGGAGGATTTAGGGCTTTTCTCACTTCACTGAAACGTCACGCTTCAGTCACCACAAGCTCTACAACACGCTTCAATCCAATCATTCACAGCAATTTCCAAAAAGTACAACTTCAGAATCTCCTTAATTGCAGTTATATAAGAGAAAGCAATATGAAGTTCAAGAGTCACAGTTTCATGGATCTTCCTGTGACCATGAAACGGTCACAATCATTTGTGAGACACGTTGCAGCATCTGTCATTATTCTACCCCAGAGGGACAGCTGGATGGATATCTGACGCCAGAAAAAAACAAATAAAAACTCCAGAAGAGATTTGGTTTGGAAGGATCTTCACTTTCTGCCCAAAAGGAACAATGCCCACTGTTGTCAGTGATTGGCCATGTCACACACATGTGAAGAGCATGATGGGTGCAAATCTCATTTTCCAGTGATTATGATGTGTGATTAGTTTGTTCATACATTAAATTCACATTATAAAAGGGTGACCGCATGAACATCTGAAGAATGTAAACTGCAGGGGTTTAACTCTGATGGTATCAGTGCCAACAGGACTAAAGCCAGATCACACAGGATCCCATTATTCTACGAGATGGAGCTTTAAATAAAAAAAGGCCAAAAAATTAACACACAACAGAACAAATGTAATTAATTATGGTGATGAAGAATTACTATTGGGCAAGCCTCTCAAACGCCATTTAAATTCACACACACACACACACACACACACACACACACACACACACACACACACACACACACACACACACACACACACACACACACACACACACACACACACACACACACACACACACACACACAGTAATAAAATTCATCTTTGGCTAGCAGCTTTCAGCAGAGAGACCAACCACAGGAGAACCGTGGGAGAGGGAAACCGTTTGTCATGAAAACACATCAGAATATCTTTGACCCTGTCTAGGCTAGGTCTCACCTGTAAAAGAGATTTTAATCTCAATAGGTAATAATAAATAATATAATAAAATAATAAAGGTTTTATTCATATAATGATTGAATAAATGTAGAAATATGCAAAGAACTATAATATCTGCAATATTTTTCTGAGCAAAAGCAGAAACCCAGATGTTTTGATCCGTTTATGCCAAAACATTATAACTCAAGTTTTGATTACTAATATGATGTATCTTCATTTAAAAGATTATATGATCCTCTACTGGTGGAGAAGATCTCCTTTTGTCTATCCTTTCCAAAAATTCAGGTAAACTGAAACCGAGGCTGACATAGAAAGCTCTTAAAAAGCTGACAATCTAAATAGAGGAGAAAATGTGAAGAAATATACGTGACTCACAAGAGGATGATCTTGCGGTTGATGTCTGGTCTGAAGGGGAAGGGTGAGGGGAAGGCCTGCTGGCTAAGCAGGCTGTCGCTCTGCTCCAGCGGCGTCTCCTCGCCATCCTCGTCCAGCTGCTGCTGCCACGTGGGGAGGGTCTGGATGTCCACGAACTGGGAGCGAGCACCCAGAGGATCCATCCCCTCTGGCACTACAGGCTGACACTGGAGCTCCGAGCAGGCGCGCTGCAAGCAGAAGAGTGAGGGAGCAGCATTAGACCTTAAGTCAACTTTATTTATAAAGCCTGAATTCAAAAATCAGATATCTGCCTCAAAGGGCTTTCATATCAGTCGGTGCTGCTCACTTCAGCTGTGATTAGAGCTGCAATGATTAGTCGATTAGTTGTCAACTATTAAATTATTATTATTATTATTATTATTAATAATGATAGAGGTTTGCAGCGACAATTTTGATAACAGATAATTGATTAAGGCTGCACCTATTATTATTCTATTGTCATTATCTGTTAGCCGAGTAATAATTTCGTCTATAAACTGTCAGAGTAGTTATATCTCGAGGCCAGAGTGATGTCTTCAAATACTTTGTTTTAAATTCAAAACACAGAAAGATTATAGACGGCAAAGAAAAGCAGATTACATATATTAATCTTCTGTCGATCAATTAATGAATTAAGCAATTAATAGTTTTAACTCTATAATTTGATCCATTAATCTTTCATGTCATTCATTAAGCAAAAACTACAACCACTTGCTGGTTCCAGTTCCTCTAACACTGCGATTTGTTTTCAGATTAAAATCGATAATGAAAGTGAGTGTCAGTGTCAGGCCCCACTGAAACTGTACCTACTTCACTTCAATGTTCAGTTCTTTCACTTAGATTTAGTGAAGAGGAGTTGAATTTCACTCCCTTCCCCCTCAGCTCGCACTGTCTAATAAACTTCACTTCATGATTTCCCACTTTTCCCAGACCCTAACTCAGATTGCAACCTGCCTTGTTGCTACATTGCATTCTGGTCTCTTTCCTGCGGCCTCTCAACGGATGGATTGTTGCAGGTTGGTGTAACATATCAGCTCTGGAAGGAAGCCCTTGCTATTTGAGATTGCTGAAACATTTTGTGCATTTGAACTATTGAATTGTGTTTGCTAGAACTATCTCAACATGCAGTAGGCGGGTATCCACAGGAAAACAAAAAATACACCTTAAATAATTAGTTACTGGCTATAGTCATATTCAGTTCATCTACAGATTACTTTTCAAGTAGTTGTTTTGCCTATAAAATGCCAGAACATCCCAGAAAAATATTTTGTCTGACTAACAGTCAGATCAAGTTTGTGTCTGTCACTTCATCTCTAGATTCTTCCCTTAAATGACACCATGTGTCATGTCTACACAACAGTTGAGACTTTTTCATTCATTAGTTTGTTTTCGGGTGAGTTTTAAAATGCTGTTACCCGCACACACACACACACACACACACACACACACACACACACACACCTACTTTGACAAGAAGAAAATTTGAAAGGAACACTGGATCAATTTCACGCTAGTATTCAATCTGCCACAGATCGGCACGAAATACTGGTTAACAGCAAATTCAGTGTGATCAACCTGAGAACGTCAGTACAGCTACTTATTGAAGTCCCATCAGTCTGACTGCAGCCACTTAAACCTCAACTGATTTCAAGCAGCAAACTTCCTAGAAAACCTGCATGTAATAACATTATCAACAGATTAGAGCAGATGCATGACAGCCTTCTCTCTGTTCAATAATGTGGTGATGCTCACCCTTAACTCGAGATCCCAACCTGTTCATTAGCAGAACGGAGCTCAGGAATCAGAAACACATTCACAGTGTATGTGAGCTATGTGACAATCTGTTCTTTTAGTATAATGCTCACACAATCGACAGAGAATTTGCTGATCTTCTCTCTGCCATGTCATTGTAAATGGACCATCTGTGGGTTTTAGACTGCCTGTTGCAACAATTAATCAGTTAGGTCAGTGGTTCCCAACCTGGAGGTCGGGACCCCCACTAAGCTTCATAAGGAGCCCCGATGCCTTCTTGATTTTTGGGGGTGTAAGAAATAAATTTAAAAAATACACAGTAGGGCTGAAGAAAACTTATTGAAACTGTTACTTTTAAAGTTGTTAATTCATTATTTAAGATCTAAACTTAAAGACCTGAACCCAAAGAGCTAATGTGATAAATCCTGAATTGTTTAAATCAATCAAGCAAAAAAAGACATTTACTACTCCCAGTAGTAAAATGTGACCTCAAATGTCATGATTTCCTGCCTTTCTCTGCTTCACATCATTGAGCCTAAGGTCATTTTAAAAGGGAATAATCTACAGATGAATCAACAGTATTAATATATAAACACAAACTCGTATATATATATATATATATATATATATATACACACACACACACACACACACACACAGACAGTCTGTGTTTAAGAAGAGGAAAACACGCTGCTTTCCTAAATAAATATACCTTATTTTTGCTTATACAGGTTGCTGTATGACCCCAGCGACTGACTGAGAGTTATTCGCCTCTTTGTCACTGACACAGCTGCACATCATTAAATTACCCAAAACACAGGAGCTAGTGAGAAAGTAAAGAGGCAGCATTTGTCCTCAGAAACAGCCACGCTACTGTCAAAAAATAAAATAAAAAAATAATTTCCACCTGATAACTGAACTCCTTTAACCTCCTAAATATAGTAATGGCAGCCCCGACGAGGAATACTTTCTTTATAAATCGACGAAGACTGCATTTTGGCCGGCCAGTGTCCCTCTCAACCCCAAACTGAGCAGTCACCTACCTAGCCAGTAGTATTTCCTCCAGGCAGAGGTGATGTCCACGCCAAAATAAATCAAGAATAACCAATTAATCTTGACACGACAGTTTATAGACTCAGGAGGTGTTGTCGTTCCTCTGAGTGCTCATAGTAGCGAGTAAAGTAATCGCAAAAGTAGTCAAAAAGGAAGTTAACCAGGTTTACACATTTAGCCAGAATGCTAGATGCTGCTTGCTGCACCGTCAAGGTGGCGACAGTTAGGATGACAGCATCCGGTGTTAGGACTTTCAAAATAAGTTTTAGAAACGCAAACTTGATTCCCCATTATTTATACAGCGTGAAATAGGAAATGAGTAACATTTGGTTTAATAAAGTAAAGCATACTAGTGAGCTGATGGATAGGAATGACTCACAATACCTGAAAGGATGGAGACCTCCCACCTGGAAAGTTATTAAAATCCCGTCCAGACATGTTTTAAGACTTATAAAATACTTTAAGAAATAAATATTCTGAAGACAATATATTTCCAACTTAACAGAAAGGTCCGTTTTCAGTTATGATTAGCCATGATTAGCTTCCAAACTCAGTGGCAGACTCAAACTGTTTGAGGGGCTGGGACAAAAAAACTAAATAAAAAGGGCACCAACAAGTAGATGCTTTATGGTGCATTTATGGGGTTAGCACCCTGGAGGGGACTTAATCACATTTTCTCCACTGGAAGGGCACCCTGGAGGGCACTTTATTATGTTGTATCTACTATAAGGGCATCCAAGAGGGCACTTTTGCAGTGTTTTTTTTTTTTTTTCACGCTTTTATTTTGTATGGGGCATCCGTTGAACTTCCGGTGTTGTCCCTGTTGTTTCTGCTGACATTGACGCATCTGTTCTCCAGCTCCTAATCAGCTGACTAATAATCGAAAAACACTTCCGCTGTGGTTGCTTAGGGACCTGTGAGAAGAAGTCGCTGTATATTGTAAAGCGCAGACCCACTGACGGTGACCCACTGACGGTGACCCACACCCGTCGGGCCACAGGACGGTTGTTTTCAATCAATTGTTAGTATCATTTTTGAATTTGTTTTCCAAGAACCTGAAGAGGTGGTGAAGTGTGTCGTGCTTCTCATGGGAGCGCAGACAGAAGCAACAGAAAGAAAACGACCGAGCAAAGAGAACAAACAAACAAACACAGCAGCCTCTCTTGCCACACACAGTTATGTTTCACCACTGCTACTGAGTACTTTGTTCTAACACTATAGTACACCTTTACGGACCACCTTTAGTGGCGCATGGTGACAACAAGGTCTTCGTATCGATGTGGGATCGATTACAGAGTCTGGATCAGCAGCGCAGGGAGCACAACACGAGCGGAGCTAGCAGCCACTCTTCAGAGGTAAGAGCAGAAACAAGCGAACTGTGAGTGCGTCGCGTTGAGGAAACAAATGTTCACTTAGAGTAACACACACGCAGACACAAATGTACTTTACATCAGGTTTAATGAGCTACATTCAGGCAGGAACTTCACCACGTGGGTTCAGGGACAACCGGTGTGTGGTGGTTAGGTGTACTCGATTCGTTGGGTAGGGGGTTTGCTGGGCGGGCGGTGTTTGCCGCGTATTGCGTTCATTCATGTGCCATAAGCTCTTCACCCCGACCACGCGGGTAATGTACTGCAACAAAACAAACGCTCCTCTAACTATGTACACTAGCGTGCTATACCTAGCTAGAAGTGCACTGAAGGAACCCTTGAGTTGGTCGATTTAAACTTATTTAAAATCCAGATGTTGAAGGATTAGCAGGACACCTGCAGTGACATTAAAGTGACACCACAGACACATTGTATATACTTTATCACATTAATAGTGTCCTTGTATCTTTAGTGCCTTACGCTTGTACGATGGGAGGTGTTTAATTATTTGTTCGGTTCTCAGTAAATATATGTCACAGATATCAGTTTATATTTATAACATAAACACATTACTGATTAGAATACAACTCTGCACTGAAACATGCTTCATAAAATATCTGATAAATAAGTGGTCTAATGTTAACGCTTTACTTTTTTAGGTTTTAGTCATTGGCTTTTGGCAGTATTTTTTTTTTTTATTGATTTTAAAAAAATAGTTTCTTTTGTGTTTATTTTTAGATATGCAAAATTGTATTCATCGTCGTTTATTTTTTTATTATTATTTATGTGTTTCAGTTTTGCTATGTGAAGCACTTTGGGCTGCATGTTGTTATGAAAGGTTGTGGAAATAAAGTTGAGTTGAGTCTAGACCCCTGAGTTCCAGTGAGGGAAATCTTTCTGCTACAGCATACAGAGATATTGTAGACAATAATGTGCTTCCAGTTTTATGGACACAGATGGGTAAAGGCCCGTCCCTATCTCAAGATGACAGTGCGCCCTCCCCCTCACAGGTTGCTGTGGAAAAACCTGACCGGACTGGCCTTAAATAATACATATAGTTTACCAAATATTTCAGGATATATTTGTTTTGTAAGATAAGATAAGATAAGATATTCCTTTATTTGTCCCACAACGGGGAACTTCCAATGTTGCAGCAGCAAAGTGGATAGAGAAAAAAAACCAGTAAGAAATCCACAACAACAGATAACACAATCGGTTTGTCGAGTCTCTAAGGACACATAAAGTAGAATGAAGTATATGATTTGCCTCAGACATACTATAGATTCCTGTGGGAGTAGTTCAGGTATACTACAGTGTTTTATTTTTCTGTTTCGTGAATAGTGGGATCAATCAAAGTCTCTCCTTTGTTTTTGTGAAACAGGATTCATCGCCACGTTAGGCCGCCGGTCATGGGGTTGACCAAGCAGTACCTGCGCTACGTCTCCAGTGCAGTGTTTGGAGTAATCGGCAGCCAAAAAGCCAACATCGCATATGTGACCCTCCGAGGGGGAGAGAGGGGCCGCTATGTTGCTGTGGCTGCATGTGAGCACGTGTTCATCTGGGATGTCCGAAAAGGAGAGAAGGTGAGCAATAATATGACAGCGGTAGTGGAGGACAGATCCAGGGCTCCCACTACTTCAGGAACTTCTTCCAACTCAGATCTTATCCAGATTTCATCCAGCGTCTGTCTGTCTGTCTGTCTGTCTGTCTAGGTCCTGATCCTGCAGGGCCAGAAACACGAGGTGACCTTCCTCTGCCCCTCACCCGATGGCATCCACATCGCCGTGGGTTACGAGGATGGCGCCGTGCGAATCTTTAGCTTGATGAATGGCGAGAGCAATGTCTCCTTCAATGGCCACAAGTCTGCTGTCAGCGTCATACACTACGACAGGCTCGGAGCTCGGCTCGTCACTGGTTCCAAGGTAAGGCAGCCGGGTTTTTCTTTGTATTTGTGGTTTGATCTTTTACATGCTTTTAAAATTGTACATGGAGACGGAGTGTCGAGGAGACAGCAGCCTTTGGGATCAAGATACTGATGTCACAATCAGTAGACGATCAGTTGGGTTTTATGTGGCTGACGGACCTTGTTTGTGTCCAGACTTAATCAAATCAATCAAATTCCAGCTTGGATTTTGCGTACTGGCCTTTTGTCTGTTTGTTATAGCGTGTGTTAAGCATGTTACCACCCCCCCTTCAGGACACAGAGGTGATCGTGTGGGACATCATCAACGAGTGTGGGCTGTACAGGCTGAGAGGCCATAAAGACATCATCACACAGGCCTTGTTCCTCAAAGACAAGAACCTCCTGGTCACCAGGTAACACACCTTTCACCTGATGCTGGTAGCTAATGTACTGATAAAATGTAGAACACAGAAGAGTCAAAACATTTGGCCGGCAGTGGTCAGGTCCAGCTTATTTTAAATTTATCTATCGAGCAAACTGTACACAAAGATACTAATTATTAATTAATTTTTATAAAAATGTCTCGTAGCTCAACATGTCTAAGACCTCACAAAGCGTGGATCCGAAACCCATACGGGTCCCGGGTTGGGTCATGGGGTTTGACCTCTAGTGTGATGTATCTGCAGAGCTTTATGAAGCTCCTTCTTAATCCCAGTGACTTAACCTTCACTGTGTGTTGAGATTTCTGCCTCTAAAATCTCCTATACTGTTTCATAACAAATAAATTCCAGCTATTATTGTAGAGCCCACCACCTGGCTCGCAGCTGCCTGTACAACTCTCAGTTGCTGGACTTTACGCGCGATGACACGTGTTGTACGAGTAGCAGTTTATATCCGCATGTGTGAAATAACATAATCTAATGACAATTCTAATATAATAATATAATGAGCACGTTTTATCACACTCGCAACAAATGACAGTAATCTGACGGCATACTTCATATTGACAGATGCAATTGAGAGCTTGAGGGAACTCTCCCAGCAGAGTTTCAGGGCTGTGATTTTAACACCATCTGTCTCTTTGACCTCATTCACTTTTGGCAAAGTAGCACATTTCTATTTTCCTATTAATTTTAGATTAATTTGGAATTATGAAATTCCCCATATGTTGTCACCTCACAAATATAAGCATGCTGTTACTTAGTATTTACAATAAATGTGTGTTAATGTGACTTTAAGCCTTATGAACCTGCATGTGGGTGTGATAATGATTAGTGCTTTAAAGATGACATAATCTTAAATGTAATATAATGTTTGATGTGGTATTTGAATTGTTGTTTTTAAGCCAATAACCTTTAGTAACACTAAAAACACCCTCCTAGGCTTAACACTGTTCAAAACTAATACAATGTGTGTGTATCTGTGTGTGTGCTGCTGTACAGCTCCAAGGACAGTTTTGTGAAGTGGTGGGACCTGGACACACAGCACTGCTTCAAGACCATGGTGGGCCATCGCAGTGAGGTGAGGGGCTTCTTACTCCGCAGACATTAACACAAACTAAAGGGATGCACAGATTCACCCCAACTGGTCGAGGCAGACGACCACCCATCTAGAGCCGAAGGGTCTGTCCTATGTTTCTGACTCTTAAAAGGAAGTTTTTCCTTGCCGCCGTCACCAAGTGCTTGCTCATGGTGGTACTGTTGGGTCTCTGTAAATAATGTTATAAGGAGTTCCGCCTAGGCCTGCTCTATTTGAAAAGTGTCCTGAGATAACTTCTGTTATGAATTGGTGCTATACAAATTAAATTGAATTGAATTGAATTGAGGAGGGGTAACTTAAGTACACAGCTCAAGAGTCAGATTAGCTGAATGAGAGTTTGAAGGGAAAGCTCCAGGTTTCTAAACACATGTAAACATAACCAGTGTGCTCGGAGAACTCACACGCTTTCGATTCTCACTCGCCTTGATTTATATGCATTTGATTTTTCAATTCAGTTTTCCAAAGCAGAGTTAATGTAGTTTCAGTCTCCAGAGTTTTGTCTGAAAAGGTAATTTGATTGTATCACAACAGTAGTTGGCAGTAGACAAGGGAGACAGGGCTCAATTCATTTAACTGAATGGAGGCTCATAATTAGATCACTGTGACTGCTCTTTGAGAAAGAAGAAGACCTTGTACTCTATCTCAAGAGCTTGTAAAGCTATAGGTTCATGGTTCCGTGCATATTTACTGGTTTAATTTGGTGGACGTCAGCAATATAACTTTAACATTTCTACAAACAAATATTTAAATTTTAATTGTTAATATTTCATTCAACTTGACATTGTTCTATCCGGATGAATGAAATGAATCTATCTGACAGTGTTTATTTTCCTCCGTCTGTGTGTGTGTGTGTGTGTGTGTTAGGTGTGGAGCATGGTGCTGTTGAACCAGGAGTACAGGCTGTTAACAGGCTCAGCAGACAGTGAACTCCGAGCCTGGGACATCAGCTACCTGCAGGAGGTGAGGAAGAACACAGCTGGGCACTTTGTTCTCAATACAGGCCAGCCTTTCCTGCTCCCTGTAAGCTGATCAAGGAAATATATTAGCATTATACAACACAAGTTTGTACAGCGGAATGAGCATTTGCAGTCCCTTTATGATACACACACGGACAAAAATAAAACAATGTATACTGAGATACAGAGGAAAAACTAGGAAGTTAGCTTGAGCACTGATAGCCATCATGGCCAAATAAAGCACCACCTACAGAAACTTTACCAAGAAAGAATTAAATAGAAAGAAACTTATTTTATGTGCTTCAAAAACTCTACTATACAAACAATGTATTCATATAATTTTGTGTGCATAATGAAATGTTATATTAGAAAAGCTGAATTTGAAAGTCTGATTAAGTATCACAAGGGAGTCACAAGAGTTTAAATACTTACTAGAGGTAATCGCGGCTGGGGCAGGGCCTCCACCACCGTCCAAAAGAAATGTATGTTAGGTTAAATCCCCAGCCAGGGCCTCCGCTAAGGCACTGGCTCAGATCTGGAGTTGGTCCCTCGGGTGCCGCACTGTGGCTGCCCACTGCTCCTAGTACTTAGTATGGGTCAAATGCAGTAAATGAATGTCCCTACAGGGATTAATAAAGGATAACCTAAGTTAACCTAATAAAGACTGTATGTGTATTATGAAATGAATAATGAATGCAGTCAACATCAGTGTTTCTGCTGACCTGCTGGATATGGTCTCATAATGTAGTGTGCATGTAGCATGAAATTGGATGAACTTAAGGTGACATGTATACGCCTATGGTGTTAGCCTAATGGTGCATACAGTCACATAGTTGACAAAGATCCCTTTTGTGTAGCCTGTTGTAATTATTCCAGCTTCGTTGATGAAGATGATGCACCTAAATGTGTATTTACATTGGATAAATAAAGAAAAACTGAGGCTGCCTGAGTTGTTGTAAAGGCTCTGTCTGTCTGTCTGCATCCTGCTCAGGAGAAAGCTGAGGGTGAACCCAAGGTGAAGAAGGGGAAGACTCTGCTGGAGGATGACGACGATGAAGACAACGAAGAAGGGCTGGATGAGAGTCCGGAAGAGGTACCAGAGTAGTCATTAATGTGTTCTTGTGAGAAAATACTGTAATGAAATGCATGTCATGCATGTCTCATTTGAGGCCATTTTAGATAAACCTGTATCATTACATACATTAATAGACTGTATGTCCTGTTAAGTCTTGTTAACTTTCAGACAACATTACTCGTTCAGAGCATGCAACAACAAAGTCATTTTGAACGTGATATACCTTTAGTATTTACTCCTCACACTGATGATGTTAAACATTGTCCTCTCCCTCTTTCTATCCCTCTCAGCGGATCCTGAGTTGTAAAAAAGCCGGCACTATCCTGAGAGAGGCCAGGGACAGAGTTGTCTCCATGACAACGGACCACAAGGCCAGAGTCATCGCCTGCCATGTGAGTGTAACCATAAAATGAATGGAATAAACAATGCAGAGGATGTCGGGGTTCCTTCGGGAATCCTGAACCATCTGTGAATTTAACAAAGAGTTTTATAACATAAACTGAGATATAGTGAATACTTTAGTTTATGGATATGGAAATTACATCATAGCCACAGCAAAAGCTCACCTTTTTTCTGCACTCTTTCTTTTACAATCTCAGGTAGGAGCTCAGATGTTTGTGTGGTGCCTTAGGCCTATCTGAGGCCTACCTCATCCATAGTTTTGGGGTTTTCCAGCACTGTTGGATCTTGTAGGCCCTAATCAGTGGCTAAAATAGCACACTGATTTAATTCAATTCAATTCAATTTTATTTGTATAGCGCCAATTCATAACAACAGTTATCTCAGGCCCCTTTAAAATAGAGCAGGTCTAGACCGAACTCCTTATAACATTATTTACAGAGACCCAACAGTACCACCATGAGCAAGCACTTGGTGACAAGGGCAAGGAAAAACTGCCTGTTAAAAGGCACTGAGCATTATTTGAATTTGCTCATTTTGTTTAGTTTCTCCTTATATTTGGCATTTTCTTTGTCTACAAGCATAAGAGAACAACCTGACAACCTGTCAATTAAATATTGTTTAATATCATTCACAATGAAAGGAAAACTGGTTTTTGTTTTTCTTAATGTTAATCTTTCCTCTCATGCCGGCACAGGCAGAATGAATGTGCTGGTCTACGTTCAGCTGGCTGTCAGTTTTTATCACTCTGTTTATATCATCAGAGTTTGTGATTTTAAAACACATTGATATTGCTGTTTTAAGCTATTAATGGTATGCATATCTCTTCTCCCTTCAACAGGGCAATGATTCAATCCTGGAGCTCTTCACTGTGCTGTCAGAGGAGGAAGTGCAGAGGAAAATGACAAAGAAGTTGAAGAAAGCCAAAAAGAAGGCAGCTAAGTAAGGAAGCAGTTATTTCGGTTGAGTTCATTTGGAAAGTTTGCAAGCTTATTATTACTGTTACCAGAGGTGGTTAACATTACTGCTGATAACAGTGCTAACCTTTATACCAGTCTTTTACATCCTTTATCTACCATTGCATCCACTTCTACAACTTTTAAATACTGCTGCACTGTAGTGTGTATGCAGTACTCGTGGGGGTTTTTGAGTTCAGCGCACTGAAGCTTGTTGTATGGCTGCCCCCTGCTGCAGAGCTCAGGAAGATGCAGGCGAGGAGGCAGCAGAGCCGGTGGTGGAGAGGACGCTGAAGGACGAGATCATCAGACTGACCAACATCAAGGCCTCCGCCAAGATCAGGTCAGTGTGGAAACCAAGCCCTCAAAAGCTCCATCAATCATCCAGACTTACAAACACTGATGAAAGCCGCTATTTGCATCTTTATCCCCTAACTCCTCACACACCTCTCCTCCACCCGCTCTCAGATGGGTGGAATGCCTGTCATGTGTTGGTGGCGAGCTGAAGGTGGCACTGCTGCTACAGAACAATACTGTCGAGACCTACAGCCTGAAGACTTCAGACAAGACCCCCACAGCCAATAAGACAGCTCGCCTCACACTCGGAGGCCACCGCACCGACGTCCGCACGCTGGCCTTCAGCTCGGACAACCTGGCCGTCCTCTCCGCCTCTGGTGACACTGTCAAAGTTTGGAACAGGTGAGACTGCTTCAGTCCCAGCAAGTCCTGGCAATGTCTTTTAGGTCTTACTGAGTGGCCTCATCTAACATGATGTCCCGCCCCCTCTTACAGGTCAACTCTGCAGGTGATTCGCACCATGGCCTGTGACTACGCCCTCTGCTCCCTCTTCGTGCCTGGAGACAGACAGATAATTCTGGGGACCAAGGTATTTGGATGCACACACCTGCTCACCCAGACACTCAGCAACATGGTTTATGGTAGAAGTATGTCAGGTTTATGGAGCCAAACTATGATATTCTTTGTAGAAAAAGTTTCATTGAACATAAAGTCAATAATGTATCTGCTTTAATTGAATTATCCCGATTCAAGGTGGCTAGCGCGAATATAGACACTTTGACTTAAATCTGAATTTTAGGCCTTAAAACTTATTAAAATGTCTTAAATATGATTTTGACAGGTCTTGAAAATTGATTGGATTAATGAAGTTAACATTATTTGTATAAAGTTACATTTTCCAGTCTCACTTTTAAATGTATTGATGCTGTAACAACTCAAAAAAGAGACCAATTTGGATGTGAAACAGGTCTTGAATTGTATTCACTTCATTTATTTATTTAAAAAGTTCAAATTTAACCTTCTGAAACCTGTAGAAACCCTGTATTTAGAATAATCTAGTCAGTGTTTTGTGCTTGTGTTTTTCCTGCCAGAGTGGGAAACTGCAGATCTTTGAGTTGGCCTCAGGAAGCCTCCTGGAGACTGTGGACGCCCATGATGGAGCCCTGTGGTCCCTGTGCCTCGCCCCAGACCAGGTAAACCTGACTCCCTGTCTGTCTGCAGTTGCATTCTTTTTCTTACTATTTCTTACTCTTTCGTATCAATCAGCTTCCATAAATAGTGCTTTTTCATTTGTTTGTCTGTCATTCCTGTAGAGGGGGATTGTCACAGGAAGTGCAGATAAGACAGTGAAGTTCTGGGAGTTTGAGCTGATAAAGGACCAAGGGACGGCCCAAAAGTAAGTCCCCCACCTTGTTCAGTGTTCAAATATTAGTATGGTTTGTTAATGACTAGATGATTTCTACTATTAGTCTGCTTTTTATTCAAAGCAGGTACAATATGCAACAAGCAAGTCAGCATATTTTCTGTAATGATTATACATTGCTCTGTCTTATTGATGGTAAATCTTAAATGGAACACTTTTCAATTGTAAATTGCTTAATTAAGCACAAAAATGTTAAGAAGACTTAGACATGACTCATCATTTTGTGTGCGTGCGTGTGCGTGCGTGTGTGTGTGTGTGTGATATAGGAGGCTGACAGTGAAACACACACGGACTCTGCAATTGGAGGAAGACGTTTTGTGTGTGAAGTTTTCTCCTGACCACAGACTGCTGGCTGTCTCTCTGTTAGACTGCACTGTGAAGATCTTCTACACAGACACACTTAAGGTAGATCACACATACATACATAACATTGCACAACATTAAAAAATAAAATAACTATAGCATATTCAGTGTGTAATTGCTTCATTAATAGATTCAGTCGACCTGATAACTAAACATGTCTCCCTCTCTCTGCTTCAGTTCTTCTTGTCTCTGTATGGACACAAGCTGCCTGTTCTTTGCCTGGACATCTCCCATGTGAGTACTCTCAAGCTGCGACAGCATGGCAGGCTGTAAACTTACAAACCGAGTCTCAAAGTGACCACAAACCAAAAAACTAGCTTTGATGGAAACGCAGGGCAGCGTACGCTCTGATGCTCTCTGCTTCGGTGAGGACCGTCAGCGGGGTCAGCTAAACAACTTTTGAACGCGGCAGTGGTACAGCCGGCTGACGGCGCTGTCAGCAGTCCAGCAGCAGAGACGCTCTGTGGTGTGCTGGGATTTTATAACTGAACTATGAGCTGGATACAAACTTTACATTTCTCTGACTGTGTGTAAATCTGATGTTTTCACGTCACAGATGATGGAGAAAGGCATTATAACTTGAGTCTTATGGGTAAAATATGGGACTGATGTAGGCTCATATAGGAGGTGAATGTGGGGTTGAACTTAAAAAAAGGAAAGCTGAATCTTCACATTGAACAGCCAAATACAATTCAGCTGACAAAATTCTGAGTCGGGTACGGCCCTACTGGAAAGTGAGTGTTATAATAGCAGCCAGATCTTCAGGTCCAACTCATTATGGTCGTGTCCCAGCTTGACAGAAGGTGTTTTGATTGTTGATTGCTTGTTGGTGTTGAATATGATTCAGTTTTGATGTTGGTCTCCACTTTGAACAGTTTAGTTTGTGTAATCGATTTGGAGTTAGCTCATCTTGACCCACAGTCCTGCCTCCCAGACTCTGATCTTGTGTTTTCTGTTACCAGGATAACACAATCATCGCCACCGGCTCAGCTGACAGAAACCTGAAGATCTGGGGTCTGGACTTCGGCGACTGTCACCGCTCCATGTTTGCTCACGACGACAGGTAACGCCCAGCGACACAGACCCAAACCAGTCATGTGTTCATTGGAACAAATTCATCAAATATGTGCTGGTGAAATCATTTTCTAGGCTGTCCAGCTTCCAGCTCTGACTTCATGTGTTATGGTCAGGGTCTCTGATCTATGTCTTGTTAACTCAGACTGCCCTGTGACTTCACACCAGCTGCTCTTTCATCTCTCCGCTCATCTGTTTCCTCATCTCACTTTTTTTCCTTGGTGTTCTTGTTCTGGTTTATTTTATTGTCAGCCTTTCTGTGTTCGTTGAGTTTTCTTTCAACCGCCCCTTTGGATTCTTTTTGCTGTATTTCTTGCTTGTTAGCTTTTGTTGTGTCTTTCTCTCTTGTCCTGCCATTACATCTAGCTTTCTTTTCTTTTTTCTTTTTTCTTTTTGTCACACTTGCCTATTTTCTAGCTTTGGAATGATTTTCTATTTTATCAATTAACTTGGCTGGCTTTCTCTCTCTTCTCTCACTCTGTTTATTCTCTACAGCGTCATGTTCCTCCAGTTTGTCCCCAAGACTCATCTGTTCTTCACAGCAGGGAAGGATAAGAAGATCAAACAGTGGGACGCCGACAAGTTTGAGCACATCCAGACGCTGGAGGTGACGCTCTTTCTCCTTACCCTTGATATTTGGGGTCGACTGGCTTAGCCCAAGGGTTTATTCACACCTCAACTCACACCACCACGCCTCATTTGTCAGTTGTAAACTAGATTTGTCAAACAGAGTCCAAAACTAGATTTGGTGCCATTACAGATTTGTGGGTGTTCACTTGTGTTGTTAGGCTTTTACTAGGTGGTGGCTGCATGATTATTTGCATTTGATAGGGAGGTTAAACAGGATGTAATGCCCATTACACAACAGAATTTTGTCCCGAGTGAAGAACATTTTATCAATAGAGGGAAGGTCATGTTGTTACTTTGCATTCTTACAATTTGGGTAGTATATGCAAATAAACATTCATGAACGTAACTTCCCTCCATGTTGCCAGTACGAGGAGGTCCTCACTCATTTGCAGACAAAAGTTTATGTTATTTACCTCTCTCAATCCAACTGGTCATGGAGGCGAGTATACAAAAAAATGCCAAGGTACAATCTGTAGTGTGGACAAAAAGCCTAGAACCATGGACAGTCGGATTGAGAGAGGCAAACTGCGTCATCTGGTGGACTTTTGCTGGCAAATGAGTGCAAGCAGCATAGAGGGAAGTTAAACATTGTATTTGCATATACTACCCACATTGTAATCATACAAAGATGGTTGAAGATCAACAGATTTTCCCTTTAAATTGATAGTTGATTGATCCTTAGGTGACCCTGTATGTGACCGCCAAATCTGATGGGAATGCATCCAATAGTTGTTGATATTGTCAAAATTACATTTGGACCAATGGGCATACATCATCATACCTAGAGCCTTGACTCTAGTGGCTAAAACTGAGAGCTGTGACTTTAAGGGTGTGACTAGTGATTGTTTAGAAGGTACTTGGTAGTTAGCAGGTGACACATTTTTCTTCCTGCCCAGTACTGACTTTATACATCATGAATTTTTGCTCGGCTGCACTGTAACAAGGACTAAACGCTTCCAGGCTGACATTTGGCTTTCCTCTCTGCCTTACAGGGCCATCATCGGGAGGTTTGGTGTCTGGCCATCAGCCCCAACGGCGACCACCTCGTGTCGGCATCCCACGACAAATCCCTGCGTCTGTGGGAGAGGACCAGGGAGCCCATCATCCTGGAGGAGGAACGAGAGATGGTGAGGTGGAGCACAGGGTCGACACTGACGATTGGACAACACAGTTTCTTTGCGTCTGTAAATGACCTTTTTTCATATTGACAGGAGCGAGAAGCAGAGTTTGAGGAGAGCATGGCCAAAGGAGACGTGCCTGTGGTGAGCGCTCAGTTTTTAATTTCGTCATCGACCCCTTTATACTTTTTGCCGGACATTATCTATATTTGAATGATATAGCTTCATACAGCCTTTAAATCAGAGCAAAATGAGTTCTACTGTTGTGTTACAAGGATGTAAATGATGCATTTTATCTTCAGGTACCTGGAGAGACTCAAGGAGAGGCAGCACCAGCCAGCAAGAAGACTGTTGAGACGGTCAAAGCTGTGAGTTCACTTCACCTCTTGTAGCATCACTATCATTCTTTGCAGTGCTTTGTTGGATCTTGCTCGGATCTTTGGATGCCAGTATTTAGATTGAGGTTGTAGCTAGAGGTTGACATTAAAATACATCTGTGCTTGTGTTTTATTCTCTTTGTTGATGTTCTTGCTGTTGTGTGATTTCTTTGCAGGCGGAGCGAATCATGGAAGCTCTGGAACTTTACAAAGAGGAGAACAGGAAGCTGGAAGTGCATAAATATGCTTGTGAGAATGCAGGCAAAGAGGTAAAGCCCCGATCCAGTAATCCTACTTTTTACAACCTCTCTTGTTCCCCATTTAAAAAAAAATATGGCATAAACACTCTGCTGGGTTGTTGATAAAACACCACAGATAAATAAAACTTTTAATTGATATATATACATATGCTTTTGTTTGTGCATTTTATTATTTATCAAATAAATTTGACCAACGGCTGATGTTGTTTTGCAGCTTCCTCCACCAAAACCCAATCCTATCCTTGTGGCCTTTGGGAATGTTTCAGTAAGTAGAACAGTGATGAAGAATACTCGATTAATGAATAATAAACTGTATTGTTTTTAGGTTGTTTTCAGCTGTAGCTAACTAACTCTTTGATGCTCTTTCAGCCATCACGCTACGTTTTAGATGTCATAAAGAAGGTCAGATCGAGGTAAGATGCGAGCCGAGCGTGACCGAAGCCACATGATGTTTGACTCTGTCTGCACTGCTCTGTGCATACAAACACAGTCTGTGGGTTTATCTTTTCCCTTTGTTTGTGTTGTGATCACCAGTGAGCTGGAGGTTTCTCTGCTGGTCTTACCGTTCCCTTACGTCCCTGAGCTGCTGAAGTTGTTCAACAGCTACATCCAACAGGGCCTGGAGGTGGAGCTGGTCTGCCGCTGCCTTTTCTTCCTTCTCAAGTAAGTGCCCTACCTGTGTGTGTGGTAAAAGAAAAAGGGTTTTGTGTTTGGTAGTTAATAATGAGCCAAGACTTCCCAGATCTTGCAGCCAGCTGGTAGCTTGTCAGACAAAAACAAAAGGAACAACATGTGAATTAAATTACAAATAAATGCTAAATCATAAAGTTAACTAGGTATTTTGGAGCAATTTTTTATGTACCAAATGCTAAGTTGTTATTGCATGCACAGCCAGCACTGTGTGAGGGATGTGTTCTGAACAACACACAGAACAATTCCTTCCTCTGAACAAGTTCAAACATGGAAACAGAGAACTGACATATTCTGTAACCTCAGAACTGTGAAACTGTAGCATTAACAATTTGACTTGTTTTTATTCACTGTAATATTGTTAAGAATATATATATATATATATATATGTGACAATAGGAAGGTAACTATCATGTGACCCTATCACCTACCAACTCCGGTATATAAATGCCATTGCCTTCCTTGTTTGTTGACATGGCCACAATAAATGGGTGAAATTCAGATTAGTCAGCTTAGTCCTGAAAATCTGTGTGCTACCTTTTTGCCTTTGGCTATTCAATATTGGAACTAATATGACTTTGGTTTAGCAACACAAACAAAATACTATATTATATAGTAAAATAGAATAATTATAATTTCTGCCAATAGATTCTCCTAATTGTTACACACTGGGCCTTTAAATATTAACAATAACAGCAGCCTCTAAAAACAGCCATATAAAGACAGACAGGACTTAGCTGCTTGAAGTTTTACAATTTTAGCCATTAGTATTTAATTAGACAGAAATATTGTTTATTGAATAATTAGAAGGATCTTGAGCTCGTCTGTTGCCTTTCCAGAGGTGGGAGAGCAAATCTAATAGTCAGTGTGCGCAAGCTGCTGTTGTTCTGGTGATGTATTATCAGGCTGAGCTGACACTGTTGTCTGTTTCTCTCAAGAATCCATTTTGGTCAGATCTCCAGTAACCAGATGCTGCTGTCTGTCATCGATGAGCTACGGACAAATACTGTCTCCAAAGTGCGAGAAATCAGAGTGAGTAACGTGGAAAAGAGAATTCAGGAAGAAGTTTATTGTCTTCATCACGGCTTTTCTTTTCCGTGTCCTCACCACCTCTTCTCTCTCTGTGTCTCAGGATGTGATGGGCTTTAACAACGCAGGGCTCCAGTTCCTCCAGCGGGAGATCGAGAGCAAGGAGGACGTGATGTTCTTTGCCGACGCCACAGGCCAACTGAAGGACAAGAAGAAGAAGAGGAGGAAGAGGGAGCGAGCCATCCTGACCATCGCCTGAATCATAACGGACATTTTTGACTGTTTGTGTATAAACATCCCCTCCCCATCCCCTCCCAGCTGTGGACCAGAGGGTTTACACTGTTGTACGTAGGATGTAACACGGTGTTATTCAGTGACACGCTTCATTTCCCAAATAAACTGTGTCTGACTTTTTCTCACAGTGCTTCAGGTTTTATAGGGGGCTTTCAAAACAAATAAATCCTCCACTGCAGAGAGAGATGTAGTGTGTACACACAGCAGTTCCCTCTGCAGCTTCAGGTCTCTATAAAATACATTCATATACGGTTAAGCCCTAAATAGATAGATTTCATGTTTGAAACAGCAGTAGTACTCCCTCCATGGTCACCACACACAGAGGACAGGTATGATTTAAGCTGCTTTCTGTCCTACAGGCCTAAAGGGAGCGATTCAGGCCTGCAGCCAAACCAGGCTAAAGATGATTTGGACATGGCAGGGGTTTGTGAAACCTGTCAGACTACCTGAGCTCCAGACCACCTGGGTGTGACCACTCTGTCCCACAGACCAAGTCTCTAGCTAGTCGCTGAGAAAGAAACTCCCCTGATCCCTGTTGGCCTCTCCGCAGCCATCCACCACTGAAATCAGGGAGATGTGGCTTGACTTTACAACCCTTGTAACTCTGCCTGGATTTATAGTCCCAAGGCCTGGTAGATGTGGTAAACATATTTCATAGCGGGGGGAGAAAATCTCAGTTTTCAGCTGTTTCGCTCAAATGTGAACAGTGTACGTTTTTAGGTGCCCCGCCCTCCAATCCTGTGACCTATAGAAAAGTTTCACACCCACATCAGACACTTCATTTCCCACGAGTGTGTTTATTTCCTGACCGTGGGGCGCTGTGGAATAATGAAATGAAGCCTTTAAAACACCTCTCGCTCACTGTTCATGTTTTAATCTCATGGCGGACAAAAAACAAATTAACTTTGTATTTACAGGGTTGTTAAAAAAAGGGGGCCAGCAGCTCTTTATGGGGCTGGATTTGGTCTCGAGGCTGTAAATGTCACACCTACCAAAATTAAAAATTCTTCAGGAAAATCCCAGATCGCTCTCACACACTCGTGCAACACTTACACACCGCGTTAGCACCCAACAGCAGTTTAGATTCATCATCACAAACTTTTTAAAAGAGGAATAATACAGTGTTGAAATGAAGTTTATCATGAATTTGTGCCAAACATGTAAATAACTGAAATTTCATTGAACCTATGGTGAGGTTACGGTTATGGTTCAGGATATTCAGATGGCTCATGCAAAAACAAGAATATGAAATCCCACAGCAATATATTTTCTGGGTGTGCTGTGCTCATTAACAGAACCTCATGCAGTGTAAATGAAATGTTGACAGTGTTTCTCTCACTCTCCTGCAGTCTGTACTGACTTCATTTTTCATTTTTTTTTTTTTTTTTACAGCCTTTTTCTCAGACACTTAGCAAGCCAGTTACTGCATAGCCTGCCTTTGATCACTTTCAGCCTCATTCTCTCAACTCAATTTGACACATCACAAAGATTGTTTTTATCAAGTATTGATATTCTTTTCATAAACACATGTAAATGAGGTCCATGTGATCATCTTATGTCTGTCAGCTGTGTGGTGGATAAGCAACCCATCCAGTCTGTGATCCTGCCCTTCCCTGACCAGTAAATGCTGGGATAGGTTGGTGGGTAGGTACAGGTATCTTATCTCAGTCGTTTAGCGGTTTATATATAGCTTTTTCCTTTGCACTTGTAGGTTATTTGAAAAAAAATTGAAAAGCTTTAAATTCTCTTAAAGGTCCCCTTGAGACATATACAAATATCCTGCTTGGAAAAATGTGTGTGATATGTTTCCTTTTCCAATTTCCACATTAAAATCCTTAAAAAGGCATCTATTCCTCTTACCTCATTAAGGGAAAAAAAGTAAATTCTCACTGGTGGGATCAAATTTGTACATCACACTTGTATACATTGCATACTGGACTGGGACTGACTTCTTAACTATTCGTGAGGTCACTAATCCTGCTGGTAGGCCCCGCCCCTTAAAATCAGATTTTTAATGAGCACAGAGAATATTTTTCCACTTTCAGCAGATGAATGTGAAAACATCCTTCTAGTGTCAAACTCTGCACAGACAACATTCAAATAGCACACTGTAGGAATTAGAAGAAACATTTTGAGAGGAGGGGTACTTTAATTATGACATTATGAGATTTAAATGCCACGTTTCAGCATATTTTGTGAGCATGTTGGTGTTCAGATGAGAAGTCACACACATCTACGACACACTGTCTTATTTCAACAGTCATAAGACCAAGAATAGGAATGAGCCTTTGAGTCACTAGATGGCAGTCTTGTCTTTTCTTAAACTAGTTCCAGATTGTCCCCTTTGGTATCTGGGCTCATATCCTGCTCCATGTTCGGAGCATGCACGCCACCTGCTGCAGCGCTCAGACCATAATGGTAGAGAGTCAGACAGAGTCCAGCGCTGGCTGCAGACTACAAGTCAGAGATACTCAGGCCAGGGGTGGTCATCTGTGCACTGATACCCACACATGGCATTACCGGCACTTCTAGTGCTGACCAGCTTTGGGCCTACAGCCGCCATTGGTGTTCAAAGGAGCACTCCTACAAGACAATCTGTCTTTTACTTGGACTTGTTTGTAGGTTGTGCTTTCTACTTCATCAACGGCAGCTATTACTGCTCATGATAATCTAGTCTAATCTAGTTCCTAAACTGCTTATTCCAAACAAATGGGAAGGCGCTACCCGGCTGTGAATGTGTAGTGCCCACCGTACAGTATAATGTGTTATTTTACAGCCGGTATTTACATTACATTTTGATGGGCAGGAGATAGTGTTACTTTATGTGGTCGACGCTGCTATAGTCTGTCATCATACGGTCTGCATGACATTATATACGATCAGCTCATAGCTGCTGACTTGATTTGGTGGTGTCTATAGCCGGTGAATGTGATATGAGCTATAAATGTGTATGACCCATACTTGAGATAGATGTTGTTGGCAGTGACAGGCCTCCTGTTACAGCAGCACTCTGCACAGCAACTCTAAGTGGACTGATACACCAACCCATTCTGTATTAATGAATGTCATTTTATTTTTATTTTTTTATATTTAATGTGGAACATATTTTTTGAAATAGACATCTCATTTTGTTTTTAAAATATAACTGCACTTTGTATTCCATGTTGGAATAAATAAATGTAAAAACTAAATGAAAATATATTGCAGGACAACAGGAAATGTTGGTTGTTTACTGTTAAAAAAAGAGAATCTTGGTGTCAATTCTACATACTCAGTAGTACGTATTGATCCACTGTGAAAAATAGTCCCCAACAAAAACACAATTTTCTCCTGTTTGAGTAACTTTTGCTAAAAACTACAGTGCCCTGCTGTTATAGGCAATTTTTTTTTAAAGGAAAGAAAAGAAAATTAAGCCTACCGTATTGTGATCTATTTTTAAGGATTTTGATCTTTGGAAGAAATGAGAGCCACAGAAAGAGCTCCTTTCTTGGAATTTGTTTGAATTATCCTTTAGATGTTAAGGTTTAAACTAATCTCCCAATTAATGTAATTCTGGACAAAAGTAGTCATTACACATTCTTCCAAAAAGGTCAAAAGTTTTTGTATCTGAGCAGTGGGCAGTCAGTTGTAACAAAAAATAAATATTTAACCTTCCTTGGTCAGTTAAGATAACTGTGACCTCTGACCTCCTGAACCTATGAAACCCTGTCAAAGCCTAAAGCTGCAGTAACACTAGTTATAAATACTACTTTTATATTTCCAGGAATTATTTTCTCTCTCTCACTTATGTTAATTACATTTCCAGCTCTGTCTCGAAACCAGTTGGCCTTGTGCTGTAGCATGTGTGAAAACCTTGTAACGTGATGTGATTTAATCTTTATATTTTCACTTCTTCTCAAGTGATACATTTCCCTATGTGGCAACTACAATACACTTCTTCCAACCCTTAAAATACATTTGATCAAACCAGCCAACTAGCTCATCAAAATAGCTTCTAATGTCCAGGAATATTTCCCAGCAGCACATTCCGTCTGCAATGACCTCAGCTCCATCAAAACAGCGTCCAGTCAGACGGCAGAACAACCTCAACCGACACGCAGGCCGTCCATCAACCTGCCAGGCCACCAGTCATGACACCGGCGACGGGCCTCGTGTTAAATCTGTGTCCAGCACTCATGAATGAGCCCATACCTGCGCTGAGATATGAGGTGGTGGGTCATTCTGGTGAGACGCAGTCGTAATGCAGCAGCAGGTCGGGAGGGGTGGGCGGTGGCTGCCGGGCGTCCAGGCAGGCCGGTGAGTGATGAGGTGATGGTGCATGCAGAGGAGGCCAACAGAACTGACTGGCCACTGACTGAACTGCATAGCTGCACACATAACGGCCATGAATGTTTCCTTTCTCTGCCTCCTCTCTGCTTTTTTCCACCCCTCAGCTGTCCTCAGACTTTTCACACTTCATTCCTGGACGGCTGTTTGTGCGATGGCTCTTGTCCTGCCGCTGATACTCATACGCAGGTAAGGATGAATGCAGATGCAGGAGATTTGTGCTAAAATTGTCAACATCCAAAGAAACCTCGAAACTTGAGGACTTGAAGTTGGTTAAATTACAAAACCTTTAATCTGTTTTGTTAATTTCAGATTTGGTAAGTCGGTCAAAAGGACACAAATCCAAGACTTCACAAACTGTGTTTTTCTGAGTTTTATGACCTCAAAGTCTCAGTTCCTTAAGTGAAAAATTCCCTTCAATCAAATCCCAGAAGTGGCATCAATCCAACAGTAAACCTATCAAGTTAATCAATAAAAATAATTCCTGTATAACTGTTCCTTTCCATGTCAGGGTTTTAATGCCGCCGTTGGCTGAAAAAGTCGCCGCTGCACGTGTTGAGGGGGTCGGCAGCTCACCTCCTCTCATCTCAGCGGAAGAGGGAAACATGTTTTAATAACCAGAGTCTGCAGAGATCAGGGGAGAGGAAACCATTTTTTTTCTCCAGCACTGCACCGAGGTCACCCCTCTGTGGGCTGTTATGAAGCCACACACACATACGTGTGCACATATGCACAACACACGTAGCCTTGTAATAATGCAGCACACACACAGGCATGCACCCAGAAAATGGACCTACAT